AGAAATGGCGCAAGTGCGCGCTTTCCACATAATTATATCAATGGCATATGCAAGCTGCTAAAATGGTAAAGTGTGAGAACAGCGATAAATAATCATAGTACGCGCTCATTGAATTGAAAATATGGCCGAAAGCTCTGTCGCAATATTTAGTTCTGAAGTTTTAATGCGCCGTTAGTGGCAGAGCAGAGTGGACACGAAGAGTCGGTGAAGAAAGAAGGAGAGATGACAAGACGAGTCGGTGAAGAAGGAAGGAGGAAAGCAAGACACATCTGCAACATCTTTGATCAAACTGAGCTGAGCTGCTGATACGAAGCGTCGACCAAGCATCCCTGACTGGAGTGAATGCCCCAGCTGGCCTCTCGTTTGTCAGTGGTTGCTACTAGACCTGTTAGTATCACACTCACGACTACAAGTTTCCTGGTGTGCATCGACATCGGCATCAGTGGGGCCTCTCGCTGTCGATCCTGTTGACGGGCGGACAGGTCGGTGTGAATCCTGAACGGCAACCGAGCCTGTCGCGTTGGGGGATCTCGGCGGTGAGTCTCGCCTCGCCTGCATACATGGACATTGCAACATCATAATAATAAACAACATACATGTACTTTCCATTGGCATCAGTATTCCGAGTAAGATTTTCGTCGCTTGTGTGGTGTGTTTCTCCACCAATGAGCGCGTACTATGATTATTTATCGCTGTTCTCACACTTTACCATTTTAGCAGCTTGCATATGCCATTGATATGTGGAAAGCGCGCACTTGCGCCATTTCTGGTGTATAAGAATGATCATTCCTCCATTATCATCATTATCATCCTCTACTGATGAGCTCCGACAGGGAGCGAAACAGCTGTCTAGAGGCGTGGAGCAACATTATCTCTCAACGGAAGTGTCCTTGCTGGTGTTTGTATGGTTCGGCTGAAGAGCGCGTGGTTGTGATGAGTTGAGAATGCAATGAATTGAAAATATGGCCGAAAGCTCTGTCGCAATATTTAGTTCTGAATAAATAATAATATTAATAATAAATGAAATGGTTTGCTCCCCACACCGGAGCTCGCGCTATTCGCTATTCCGCCGACTTTACTTGACACTTGACTGACTCACGACTTTACTTGACACTTGACTGACTCACGACTGCCATCCAGAGCACACGAGAAGTCCATCGAACCTTCGACTCGGCAAACCTGCAAGAAAGCACCACTCCCTGGTGATGTTTGTGCCTGGAGAGCACTATATAAGTGGTGCTCTTCAGGCACAATCTTCCTCAGCCTACTCAAGCTCAACTGATGAGGGGTGAATTCTTCGAAACACTGTGTATTGAGCAGGGAGTGGTGCTTTCTTGCAGGTTTGCCGAGTCGAAGGTTCGATGGACTTCTCGTATGCTCTGGATGGCAGTCGTGAGTCAGTCAAGTGTCAAGTAAAGTCGGCGGAATAGCGCGAGCTCCGGTGTGGGGAGCAAACCATTTCTTACAAATCATCGCCGAAGTCGCAACCACTACTTAATAATAAATGAGTTCCTTGTATTGTGGCAACACTGGCCAACACTCAGATGCACTGCTTCTTCACACAGCTGAACAATTCTTCTTTCTTCTCAACGTTTCGGTCACTCTGACCATCTTCAGGTCAGGTCAGGTCTTCAGATGGTCAGAGTGACCGAAACGTTGAGAAGAAAGAAGAATTGTTCAGCTGTGTGAAGAAGCAGTGCATCTGAGTGTTGGCCAGTGTTGCCACAATACAAGTTCCTATAATGAAGCTGCGTGAAGCGTCGTTCCGAATTTAATAAATGAGTTGCTTACGTACATATGTGAAGTAAACAGTTTTGATTTTGGTTTCGTCGAGAGTCGAGTAGGCCGGGAGTCGTGAAAGCTTGACTGAGTAACTTTGTCGAAACAGAGCTTGAAGTAACTTTGTCGAAACAGAACTTGAGAAAGGGCTTTCTTTGCAAGGGCTCTCTCAACTCTACCTGGTTTCATGGTACTTCGAGTCTTCTGGACTGCACTTTCTCATTACTCGCTAGTACACACACGAAGTTACTATGTAGATCTACGGTCTTGTAGATCTAGGCAGCTGGCTGCAAACGGTAGACACGTCCGGCTGCGGGCCAGCCAGATGCAGCCCTGTGCCTGGGGACGAACGTGGCAGTGATGGAGGAGACATTCACGGACGCGGCGGCATTGTGGCGGGACCCAGCAATGTGCGCCGATAACCTGGAAGCCACGCCGGAAACTGGGACAGAGACAGAGAGAGAGTGCAACAGCTGATTGGCAGTCGTTCGATACCTTCACGCTAGGTGGGGATGATGAGTCGGACTGTCCAAGACTTGCTTCCCATCGTCTCCGCTGCCTCAACCACTCAACAACCAAAACATTTCTAACGTAGTAACGAATTGTTCGCCTCGTCATAACTCTCACTGCGACCGTGCACCACCTGTTCGGCCGCCACTGCTCGAAATCAACAGGGAAGAGAGAGACGCTAGGGACACGAAGACACCGGGGTAACAGAGCAGGATGAACTTACACTGAGTCACAGAGCAGCGTTTCCTGGTGGAGATAACTGGAGAGAAGCGAGTGGTAAGTTGAGTAGAAGTTTTTCTGACTCTTTCTTCTTGATCTCGGCTTTGGCATAAGATTGCCGGATCCCAGCCTCAGGCTGCGTATGCAGCAATGCATTCACGCAAAGCCTTTAAAAAAAAGCTTCGCCGGTCCTTCTTTTACCGAACCATGGAGGATGCTGATCAATTACCACTGGCTTGCCCCGCTGGAAGACACCGTTTCCAATGTTCTCATCGATCCCTGCTCTGTGTGGCAAAGTTGAACGAAGGATATCCTTGCCTTCCCATGAAGTTGTGAAGGAGGCCTTGGATTGATCGACGGACCCCACCACCTTGAGCGACCAATTCCAGGCATCGGCTGAGATTACCCCTGTGCTCGTCCGCAAGATCCTGCCGTGAACGGGGCATCCGGATTGGCAATGTGCTGGATGTGATACGCTCTACCAAGAGAGAGAGGTCACAGGTGACGAGTGGCATCCGCAGATCCACGAATTAACCAAGCGGCCAAGCATTTCAATCCAGACTGACACTGACATCCAGTCATCCAGTGCACGTGTCAGTCTTGCACTGCAGAGAATGGTGTGCTGCTGGCTTGGTTGATACAGTGAAACCTGTCTAAGACGACCGCTCAAGGGACCTTCAAAACGTGGTCTCTGTTACCAGGTGGTCTCCTCGTCCAGGGTCATTGGACTGGAAAAGCATCCCTTGGTCCTGGTTTCAATGGTCTTTTAGGACAGGTGGTCGCCTTATCCGACTGGTCGCATTGACAGGTTTTACTGTATGTCGATCTCTGAAGGCCATAGCTTCACCCATTCCAGGGCCAAGGGTGAACTCCGAGGTGGCCTTGCGCTCCGCTATGCCTGACAACCAGCATACATGTATCTTCCATCGAGCTGCCCGTGTGCTGCTGGTGCATCCTCAGTTCACCACTGATCGTCCATGATTAATTTTTGTGATGCTCCTTGGCTTGCATGGGGGTTTCCCTCCCTCAGGACACAATGGGGTCCGGGATGCTATGGCTAGTCTGAAGAAGCGTGTCGCCCACAACGTCAACATTGGGCCCCAGCTGCAGCCAGCAACGCGGGAATCCTTCCGCTCTGCAATCACGGACGCCCAGGCTACAGTTGTTCATAGCAGCGAGTGGGGTGGGCAATTCGACGGCACTTTTTTTCATGTACGGGTGTTTAGCCCTATATGCTAGCGGTTTCAGATTGCCTCAGATCGCCCGAGCTCAGTATCCTCCAGTTTCACCACCACAACTGCGACTGCAGCCACCTCTATCATGCAGTATTATTCTGTTCTCGAGGTTCGTGGTTTCTCGTAAAAAAAGAAGAAGGAAAAAGTACCTTCCTGCTACCCGCGCTACGAACTGGAGAAGCGTGGCTGCTATGAGAAGTGTAGGTCTACCATTAATTTTGAGAGATCGAACATTGTACGGATCCTTCTCACCTCTGACCTGATCTTCTCGTTTCCAGCGCGAAAAACAGCTCGGCGAGGCCCCAGGCAGCAGCGTCAGTCAGAGTCGCGGAATGGAGTGGTGCGAAGCAGACGCAATACAAGACGTGTTTATCGCGCTGGAAACGGAGCGCCTCTGTAGCTTGTATCCCTGCCATGGTGATGGTTTGGCCTGGGTCAAGTGGTGTTACAAGAGTCATGAAAACCGGTTTTCATGTACTCTTGGTGGTGCTCATCACGAGTCATCAGCAGTGCTGCCAAATCGTCCGATTTTTGAAGGCTCTTCCGAAAACCGGTCCGAAAAAGGATACCAGTGTGTCCGGAAAAAAAAGTATGTCCGAAAAGCAGCCAAAATGTCAGAGGTTAGTACTTTCCCATGCAGAAGCCCTGTACATGTATTTTCACTTTTGATCGCAACTGAACACACACACACACACAAACCACTGTACATGTGGTAGTAAAAGCACTCATGCACAGTGCATTACAAAATTCATGAGAACTGCTGGGCGCCGTGTTGGTTACCATGGCAACGAAGCGAAATCTCTTCTTATTCTGGGCGATAATTTGAATTCTCTGAAAAAATGTGCTAATAGGAAAAATTCGCACCATGTGACCAGGTTTAGCGGCAAAAGGTGTCAGATTTTGGGCGAAAACTATTTGGCAGCATTGCATCAGGCACAATCTTCCTCACTCAGCTTCCTCCAGCTCAACTGTTGAGGGGTGAATAGCACAAAACACTGTGCATTGAGCCCGAGGGAGTGGTGCTCTCTTGCCTGCTTGCGGAGTGGAAGGTGCCACAGGCCTTTCACTTGCTCCCGATGGCAGTCGCGAGTCGGTCAAGTGTCAAGTTCGGCAGGAAGCGTGGGTTCTACGTAGGAGCAACCGACTTCATTTACTATCTCTAGAACTGCAATATGTTTTGAGAAAGACTTTTGGTAAGGCACACAAACGCACACTCACGTAGGTCTACGCGTATACAAACACACAAACTGATGCCAATGATGTGATACCGGCATGATGCTGGTGGGATGCTGTAATAGTCACGTGATTACACATTAGCTGCATCATAAGCACATCGGCCGATCCAAGATGAACCAAGGTTGACCAGATGGTGTAATATGATTACTCAAGGAGCTACTCATTACATCCAAATTCTAATATTGTAAATTCTAATAAAGAAAAGAAAGCTAAACTCAAATAAAACCTGTGCTTCCGGCGCCTAACGCACATTCACAAGAAAGAAGGAAGAAACACAAAAATAGCAAAAGTCTTTCTACGGCCGCCGAGTACTGTAGTGTCCTCATGTACCGACACGTGTGCACCCCCGCCCCGCACAAACTAGAATCAAAAATTATGCAATGCAAAAAAAGCAACTTGCAGCAACGAGCTGCGGAGTTGATGCCGGCATGATGACTAGGCGGACATGTGTATGCACCAATACACGTGCATACGTACGCACACACATGCACACACACACACGCATCCAGTCCATGCCACATGGCAACAGAACACGCCAGCACACGCAGGCTTGCTCCGGTCAAGCGGTGTAGTTCCCATGGCTACAGCCAATCAGCAGCAGCCAGGCACAGCGGCCACAGTACGCCAAGCAAAGCACATTATCCTCAGGCAGCGGCCAGATCATTTTCACAGGGATGAAACACGGCCAACGGAATGTTACTCGTTGATACGAGTAACATCTCGTACACTGGCGCTTGGCAAGCTCTGCAACACACTCGCTGGCGCACTCGTGCATGCGCGCGCGCCTCGACACACAAATCCACCAGTGACTGCTGGCATGGGCGCCAGCATGCCACGACGCGAAAACCGGACGTGCACCAACAACGCCAGCAATCGTCTCTCAGCACGGATTATGTGCGTGCACATGCGTGTGTGTGTGTGCACGAGTGCGTGTGTGTGCACGCGTGTGTGTGTGTGTGTGTGTGTGTGTGTGTGTGTGTGTGTGCGCGTGTGTGTGTGTGCACGCGTGTGTGTGTGTGTGTGCATGTGTGTTTACTGTGTAGGGACAACACAAGCGTGTTTAGAGCCTCCACAAGCACTGAACAACAGCCATAGCACATAGAGCACACTGAGTCCAGTACTCCAGTACTCCAGAAGAGCATTGAGATGAGCTGAACGCTTTGCCAGCACGGTGGTGATGCTACGTAAGCTGTTTTAAAACATTCACCCTCTGGTCTCAGTCATCCACCAAGCCACTCAGCTCGTTCATGAACCTCTCAAAACCACCACGTGAGAACGAAGCGAGGTTCCTGCAAAGGCAAACGCACGCACACACACACACACACACAAACACACACACACACACACACATACACACGTGCACAAGTGTGAAAACTGGTCAGTCCACTACAAGCACAAAAAGAGCAGAATACAAGCATGCAAACATGCACACTAGTGTTGAAACGAGCGTATCTATAACAAACGAGCGATCAGTTCCACTAACGAGCAAGCTATCGAGCGAGCTAACGAGTTTCATTGATGTGGCAAATATGATTTTTTGAATAAACAATTTTCTAAGTTCGATTTTTTCAGCTGGCTCAAATTATCACCGCCGGCATTTGGGGTTGCTGCTGCTTCACTACGGACTGCTGTTTGGTGTCAAGATTTCTTTTCAGCGCCGTCGTCGAGTAGCCTTTGTAAGAATAGACCGTTTTGCAAAGATTGCAAGTAGCCCTGGTCTTCGCTGCATCGCGGGAGAAAACTTCCAAACGACTTAGCGTAACTTTCACTCGAATGGAGAGGTGACCGAAGCATATCCTGCGACAGGTCAGCAGGTGCGGAACAAGACATCAGTAGAGTCCACCAAAGCTGCAACGACAACTGAAACAACTCAAGTGCCATGCAGGCATACAGTTACTGTAACTGCGAGTGATTTTCACTTTGCGTGGGACTGGATCCCCCATGGACTCTCGATCGACCAGGGAGTCGTAAAATATTATTACGACTCCCGGCCTCGCGGGCCCGGTCGACATGTACTGCCATGTGTACGGAGTACGGTGTACGGTGCTCGTTAGTGCAAACGAGCTGGCCGCACAAACGAGCCGAGTTTCTGGCGAGCGAGCTAACGAGTATCCGGTGAGATCGTTTCAACACTAATGCACACACACCATGTACCATGTATACGCCCGTTGCAAGAGAAGCATGCAAATCTGCAAATGCACTGGATGTGCACCCACAGATTTTCTCTTTATAGCAACGATAGCGGGTCTGGTTCTGATTGAAACAGATCAAGACAAGCGCCAGATAACTGTCTAATCCACACAACTGGCGAAGTCATGTGAATCGACCCCTCAATGCACATCTGGTCTACACCACACGGAGTACATCGGAATAGGACGGACAAGACAGTTACCTATGCACCCTATACTTGCTGGGGTAACCAGTATAGACAGCACGCTGCTTTGATAGAAGCAGAGACTAGATGCACTGGTACCTTGAAGTGAAATTGGAGTTATTTTACAACCAGCCTCGGCAACTGGGTACTGGGAACCCAGGGCCAACAGACATACCAACAACCTCAGCCATGAAAGCTATAATAGTAACGACACGCTGGATTGTGGAGCCGAAACTAGTGCAAAACCAAAATGCTTTGGCAAGAGGGCAGCCTTCTGGCAGGGTGGCACACACACACACACACACACACACACACACACACACACACACACACACACACACACACAGCATAGCGGAGACGGTGACACCAGTGTTCCCCTGACTTACAGCAGCTGTTGCATCTCTGCCTCCAGACGAACAAGATGAGCAATCTTATGTTCGAGTGCCACGCGCTGCCTCTGCAGACTGTTCTGTGCTGTGTTCAGTTCACCTGATAACTGGTCACGTGAAGATGACAGTTGCCTAGCGCACAATACCGACAAAACAGACACGCATTCATCCACACACACATATGCACGCATGCGCGAGCACATACGTGCGCACGCACACACACACACACACACACACACACACACACACAGGTTGTCTGACGATTGCTAGGCATGAGACTTCGGGTTACAACAACCAGTGGAACTCACCCTAGTACTGCACACACTCTGATAAGATATACAAAGGAGGAAACCACCACCAACACCGCCACGCCAGCGAACTCTACTGGCACTGCTGACAGTGGACTGACCTCATTCATGATCAGCCTAGTCAAGGTGTCCGCCGGGAAAGCAACTACCACTGCAAACATACTATTGGATTCCGGTTCGTATTACTGCAAAACATGTCAGTTTAGGTGCATTACAATTTCGGTGCCAGGAACCTGCCAGGTTTCAGGTGGAATGTAGAATTAGGTGAACAGCGTTCCGTTCGCATACATGTACAGTGCATACTCTAGTGCCTTTTAGGTGTAATTTAAATTTAGGTGCCTGTTTTCTCTACCGAAATCACCGAAATTAAAGTTACACCGAAAATAACATGTTTTACGGTATCGCATTCTTGTCTCCTAGGCAACTGTAAGAAGAGTGCGACTACTGTGGATGAATGGAGTGTACTATCAAGGCTTAGTGGCAGTGCTAGTACTTACTGCTGTACTTGACTACTGCAGCTGCTACTGATGAACGACACTGCAACCTTGAGTTTCTCGGTTACAAAATATACCATCTGCACAGAGGACAGACAGACAGACAGACAGACAGGCAGGCAGACAGACAGACAAACACACACACACACACACACACACACACGCGCGCACACGTGCACATGTATGTACAAGCAGCAGGCACAAAAAGGCCCAACAGTTACCGTGAAACTTCAGTGTAACGTACATGTGCCCTGTCAAACATCTGTACATGTTCTGTCTTTATATCCGGAACAGTACTCAATATCCGGTACAGTATCACAGCCAAATGATTATAAAAGGATATGCAGTGTCTAAGTAAAGTACTCTTTACATTCTAAAGAAAAGAGAACAGTCTGTTGTGTTCGGGGTGCGTTATACCGCACTGTTAGACTGTCCATACACCTATATGTACATGAAATGTCACCTCAATCTGCGGACAGAACCGTTTCGTCCTTTGTGGACTCGTCAGCGCAGCACAGAGAAAATGAGGCCAAACCTGGTAGCAATGAAAAATAAATTTCCAAAGCCAGATTAAAACCAGGCCCAAACGTACCTTGCCGGAGTGCTCAAACAGACACGTCTGTGAGCTCTGCACAACGCAAACAGCGAAGGCACTACCCCACACGGGTGACCTATAGTTGATGGTTGGAAACCGTTGCTGTCCGCCCAGCTATCAGACTGTTCCTCTCGCACCCAGGCATACACACTCATGCCTAAATTACGTTATCTAAGAGAATCTCATCAAACATTCTCGATTTTCGCCTCTCTTGTGTGACAGTCTTCGAAAGATGGCTAGAAGACACGGACTGGTCGAAAACGTATCAGTATTTCTACGGAGTCCAGCCTTGCTTATCCTCTATGTTCCTAAACAGCATTCAGCAATACCGGCGGAAGCTGTTTTTGGTTGGTCCAGCCATACCAGTCTTTCCTATTGTTGTGTGGTCCAACGCTATCAACTGTTGTCTGTATGTCTGTTTGTCTGTCCGTTTGTCTGTCCGTTTGTCTGTCTGTCTGTCTGTCTGTCTGTCTGTCTGTCCTTGCATAGTGTTCTGACCTGTTCTTTGAAGGCCCGTTCTTTAGCACGTGTTGTCCAGCAGATCCGCTCATAGCCGTACAGACTGCCGTAGATACCCACACCACTGACAACCACACGCCATCCAACAACCTTGAACATCTGTATGGGGGAATACATAGACATAAACACAAACACATATACGCACATGCGCACACACACGCGCGCACACACACACACACACACGTGCGTACGCACACACACACACACACACACACACAGCACACACACACACACACACACACACACACACACACACACACACACACACACACACACACATACACACACAGAGCACAGATCATCATGAGAGGACATGAACACCACAATCCCAATGACAGCTTGTTGAAACAGGACCTATCAAACATCTCCAGTCCCTACCAGTATATTGAACCATAGACTAAAGAAACCAATACTTTAAGTCTACAAATTTTCGGCCGCATCAAATTTCGACCACCAAGGGCTCAAGCCCATTTCGGCCGCATCAAATTTTCGGCCTGTATTGCTGCTGCCTGTATACACTGTCACCAAGAGTGCATAAACAAGAATATGCAACTGTGGTTAGGGGTCAGTGCGCGGCGCGCTGCCTTCATTATGTAACTTGCCTTCATCATGCTCTGAAAGCATGCACTCAAACCCGCAATTTCTCGTTCGAGCCAATCCGTTTTTGCTCGAGTCGTTCCAGTACCTACGCGATCTCTAAATTTTGGCGAGGGAACTCCAGTTCCATACGAAAGTTCATTTCAAACCATAGGGAAAGTGCGGTGTTTGATTTTCCGCAGTTCGCGGACTGCAGCTGAATGATGTAATGAAGGCAGCGCGCCGCGCATCTGGCCCATAGAAAAGAGATCACAGTTGCATACTCTTGTTTATGGACTCTTGCTGTTATACCGAACCTTGCAACACAAAATTTCGGCCAAACATGACCCGGCCGAAAATAGCCGAAAAATAAATATACGCCGATTATTTGTTGACTTAGGGGCCATCCGTAAATATAGTAACTGTTATTTATTTAGAAACAAAAACTAGTCGTTTAGGGGGGGGGGGAGGGGGTTGAGCGCCTGTTCGTTTGTCGAAAAATATTGATGCACAGTTTGTACGTACGGGCACGTCAAGAAAAAAAAGAGAGAATATCGATACCACGTACCGTTTGTATGTGTTCGTTTCTCAGGGAGGGGGGAGAGGGGGGGGGTTTGAAGAGAAATGACTAGTTTTCGTTTCTAAATAAATATCGGTGTTTACGGATGGCCCCTTATAGTATCCTGCATGTTTACATAGGCCATGCGTACAACAATAAAATCTGAAACATGCTTAGAAAACGGTAGGACACTGCACACTATGATGGTGTATGGCGGCAAATGACAAATGACACATTGCTTCAAATGCACGTGAGAACTCAACGGACAGGCGTGGACTAAACTTGAGTACTGCAGGGCTATTCTTATCAGATAGTGGTAGCGACTTCGGCGATGATTTCATAGGAAAAGGTGTTTGCTCCTCGCACCGGAGCTTGCACAAGTGTCAAGTCAAGTCGGTGGAAAAATGCGAGAGCTCCTGTGTGGCAAGCAAGTCCCTTTCCTTGGACTACTAGTACAGTCGTCCCTCTCTAATCCAGCACCCTCGATAAACCAGCACAATTTTAAGTAGCCAAAATGTCCTCTTTATGCATGTTCTAGCAGAAAATCCGATTTGTTAATCCAGCACCCTCCCTAATCCAGCAGAATTTCCGTGGCACAAATGGTGCCGGATTATAGAGGGACCACTGTATTAAATGGAAACTACTACTAGTACTCTTTGTTTTGGTATTCCCTAGTTGGCTTGATTATTTTATTTTATTTTCTGATGGAATTTTCCCATTTATTTTATTTTTATTTTTCCTATTTTACTTGACTGGATTTGTCACCATTGCCTTCTTTGCTTGCGCCTTTCGGTTTCTTCATTCCGACACCCGGTTTGTTTTCAAATAAAGGCGAAGTTCAGTAGTAGTAGTACTACTACTAGTATTAGTACCAAGAGTACATAAACCAGAGTGTGCAACTGTGCATATCAGATCTGAAACAGCGCAGTTCGTGCACGTCACCCTGATGAGGTCAGCCAAGCCGCGACTTGCGTACAGCTCAAATTTTCATGTTTCATAGCCCGGAAATAAGCCAAGTAAAGTCGCCAGCTATCCGTATCAAAAAACCGAAATCAGGACAAACTCAGTGACCTGCACCACCGCGACTGGTTATGCAACTTTTCACCGTACCTGTGGTTTACCATGTCGTCAGAAATGACGTACTGCACGAATTACGCTCCCACAGGAACCATCCCGAGTTGCACACTCTGGTTTATGTACTCTTGCTAGTACTAGTAGTACTGTAAATCAACATATTTTGGCCGGTGAGAAACTTTGGCCAATCTCGAAATGAAACATTTGGCCGTCATTAAACTTTGGCCAATTGGGGTTTTCACAAAAGAAATTGATCGGTATTTGTTGCTCTCACATGCAGCCATGACTAAATTATGCATCATTTGCCTGAGGGAGGTAGGCTCCTCCTACACAAAGCACTCATCTTCATTCACAAAGTCATTTGCAGTTGTTTACTGACCAGTTTCATATTTCAGAGAATAATCATCAAAGTGAGAGACAAAATTGACAAAATAACACAATTTATGCAAGAGGGGCCGAACTGTGATCGTACAAGTGGGCCGCCAATGTACGCATTGTGACAAATGTAAACATAGTCCGCAGGCCAAAGCGGAAAAAATGCTCCAAAAAAATTTCGTTCCCGCTGATGGGGTACCAAGGTTTGTTGACTCTACGTGATAGAGTGTTCCTTTATGAGCACAATGATGTAGGTTTGGTGTCAGGGGATTTGTCCTTTCGCGTGGAATTGAGGGGGGTTCGACAGCTGTCAAATATGCACAGCTGTCGTGTACGGGGATTCTGAGCAAGCACGGAAACTGCTCAAAACGGATCACGTGATGCACGCCACGCAGAATTTGGAAATTTTGAACTGAGTGATCAGGTGACGGCGAACACATTGTCAAATTTCTGATTGCACGTACAGCCATTTCCTGTTCTTCCTTTCCTTATGTCAAGCAATGATTGCGCGTTGTGTTAGGCCTTTGTCGTCCAGCTCATGGCGTCCTCGCCTGCTTCTTCAGAGTCCCTAAACAAGCGCAGTACTCGCCAGTCCGTTGAAGTTCCTCATATCGAGCCAGGAAGGAAGAATTGCATATTTTGTGGATCCATCCAGAAAAGAATACCAGGTACCAACAAAAAGCAGAGTACTTCGCAGATTTTGACATTCGAAGCTGAGGAAAGGCTGAGAAAAGCTGCTGCCATACGGAAGGACGAGGGCATTTCGATTGCCATTTCAGCAGTCAGTAGCCTCATTGCAAGAGAGGCATACTATCACAAACAGTGTTACAACGATTTTACAAGAGAGTCATCCCTTGCACGAATCCGTGACAGCACACCAGCTACATCGACCCCAGCTACCTTAGGGGCCATCCGGCGTTATCGATAATTTTCACGAAACAAAAAAGTTTAGCTATGACCTCCCCCACCCACCCACCTCCCAGAACGAAAAAATATATCGATTTGGCAGTTAGAATGGATTGATGTTTCAGCTATCAATTTTTTCATAACGAAACTCTCCTCGACCCACCTACCCATAAACGAAACTTTTTCGTTTTGTGCAAAAGATTGATAACAATGGACGACCCCTTTATAATAGTGATCGTTATGATAATATCATACCGATCACAAACAACAGTGCCTAAGTTTTTGTCTGCATTACAAATAATGATATTATCATTGTTTGTAATGCAGACAAAAAACTTAGGCACTGTTGTTTTGAATAAGGAAGAGTATTTGGCTGAAGGCCAATGTCAATTATCCGATAAACATGTTTTAATATTCAATTCAATCAACTGACACTCAGATTTTGCACAATAGTCAACTACAAATGACTTCGTGAATGCAAATGAGTGCTTTGTGTAGGAGGAGCCTACCTCCCTCAAAGACAAACTTTGGCCTACGATTTACTTTGGCCGGTTGGTACCAAGCGGCGAAACCAGCGAAATTAAATCACCAGCGAAAATTGGTTGATATACAGTAGTCCTAGTGCTACTACAGTTATCCCTCTTTAACCCTTTCACTGCCGCTGTCGACTGCAGTCGACAGCGCATTCATGCACTCCGAGTGCCATTGTCGACTTGCGTCGACGAGTAAACATGCAGTCCCCAGTGCTGTTGTCGACTTCCGTCGACAGGCAGACCTCACCCAGTTTGTGCCTCTATTTTCGAATATTGGAGATGTTTAGCCGTGGTAGACGGCCACTGGGCCCTGGAAGATGTCCATACCCATCGAAATACGCTTCCAGAAGTATGGGTTGCCATTTGAAAAAAATCGAACCAGCGTCGTTGAAAATGCGCATCCGATTTTTAGCCGATCGGCGAGGAAGAAACCGGTTCTCACGCACTTCCACCTCGCTGAGTCGGTGCGAGTATTTTCCTCTTTCCCGTCAACTTTCATTGCACGGAGCATGGAATTTGGTTCAGACTTGATGCCTAGCTACTACCCAAGACTCCAGGCGGCTATCCGTTGCGATAGGCGGTTGGAGTCACGGGTAGAGACAACCAGACGATAGATTCCTCGCGCACGCATTCACTGCAAACTTGACGGAAACAGTGCTGGCGGCGGTCACTGGGTCCAGAACTAAAATTTTCTAAGAACTACCACGTTACAATGGCGACCAGCACGGTCAAGAGACACTACAGGTATGTCAGCTACAACATAATTATATTCTTTCTACAACGACACCTACCTCTGGCTCAATACCTGACGATCTACTGCAAGCTGATGCGAAAGTGAATTACACCCGCGAACGCCGCGCTTGTCAACGGAACAGGGAAGCGCTTCACTCTCCAAAGTTGAAAAGTATTTGGACTGCTGCTAATTGGGAGAACAAACGACCACCATGGCGGCAGAACATTCCGCAGCCGTTCACCGACACGATCCGCTTCACCAAACGACTTACGATCGTTTCGTTCTCCGAGTTTTCTGGTGGCAGCAACAAGAATTTCGTCCGCAACGACAGGACGAAAGTCTCTCGCAACTGAAGTCCTGTTGCCACGAAGATAGAGAAGATTCCGCAAGCCATCTCTTCTGCTTCCAGTGTTGTAGCTCTCCTGTCCACTGGCATATCTTTTAATCCCTGCGAACGAAAAAAGGATCTGCTTCTCTCTCCAAAACAACAACTAACTAACTTTACTTCGCGAGTGTCCGGGCCGATCGTGTACATAGTGTATGTAGCGCATGCGGCGCACGGCGCACTTTCGCATGACATGACACGCATTTTTTGCACAGCGGCTGGCGATCGCGCAGCACGTTTGTACTTCGGATTTTGCGATTTTTTTCGACGGCAATGGCTTCCTTTGTGAGTTGTCTACCTACGATGTATACTTTGGAAAGCGATATTCCGTACAGAAAGTACCAAAAAATCCAGGAAAAGTAGGCCTTTCGATTTTTCGAGCTGGAGGTAAAAAGTGCCTGGCAGGGAGGGGTACGGGTGTACAGCTCAGCTGACAGCCTGGCAGGGAGCGCCTTGTCACCTTGAGTGGTCAGCTGGCAGTGAAAGGGTTAATCCAGCACTTTATAAACCAGCACCCTCTATAAACCAGCACCCTCTGTAAACCAGCATAATTTTCAGCAACCAAAATGTCCTTTTCATGCCCACTGCAGCAGTAAATCAGATTTTCTAATCCAGCACCCTCCCTAATCCAGCACCCTTCCTAATCCAGCACCCTCCCTAAATCCAGAAAGAATTTCAACAGCACAGATGATGCCGGATTAGAAAGGGACCACTGTAGTATTTTTTTTTTAATGCTCTTGTTTTTGTATGCGCGCTGGGCAATGATTATGATTGCGATGTTGTACTCACGAGAACGCCGACACCGACCATAAGCCAGGGTGCTTGTGCCGCAACACTGGACGCCATCATCATGCCACTCTGCAAGCTCTGCACCATGGCTGCATTCTGAGCGGCCGTGTTGCCGTCGGGCACAGCTGCTGACCCCGCTGCTGCGCTGCCTGGCGGGAGGCCAAACGAGGACATGCTGCCGGCTTCCACGTCATGTGACGTCCTGCTGCTACTGCTACGACCGCTGATGCTGGCTGTTCGCATCTATCATGCAATGTACATACACACAGAGAAAGGTGAAAGTCAGCAAAAACCACAAAGAGCTCACAGTGGAAAGAGAGAGAGAGAGAGAGAGAGAGAGAGAGAGAGAGAGAGAGAGAGAGAGAGAGAGAGAGAGAGAGAGAGAGAGAGAGAGAGAGAGAGAGAGAGAGAGAGAGAGAGAGAGAGAGAGAGAGAGAGAGAGAGAGAGAGAGAGAGAGAGAGAGAGAGAGAGAGAGAGAGAGAGAGAGAGAGAGAGAGAGAGAAAGCCCACTCACCAATGCTGGTACGGCTGAGATGGTAAACCTCTGTACACTTCCACCACCAGCAAGCCACTGAATTAGAGCTGTCCATCCAAAGCGAAACTGGAATCGCAGATCGGCTTCAAAGTCCGAGCAAAGATTCACAATATCCAAGTCGTGAGTGATGCGAAAACTTGGCCTGTGAAACAGGGACAGATTGATTCCAGGTCAGGAAGAATTACAAGATTTATAAACAATCCACTGTTTTAGCCTGTGTGTGTGTGTGTGTGTGTGTGTGTGTGTGTGTGTATGTGTGTGTGTGTGTGTGTGTGTGTGTGTGTGTGTTTTCTGCTCTGGTCGAGGACGGTTGTACTTTTTGGGCTCTTGTTTCTGGCCTCCGTCCGTGCTTGTTCTCGCCGTTGTGGACGGCCTGGAATGTCCCCAGCCGTCCAGGCCAACAGTGCCTGAGGTGGGGTCTTCATCGACAGGAGATGTGGTCGGATAGTTACGATGCCGACACTCTCCTCGTCGCCCCCACCTCGGAGTCTTTCGCGAGGCCTTGCAAGCCCGCGAGTGGAGCAAACTACAGCATGAAGACAACGACTTGGAACGACTCTGAGCATTGGCTTATGGAATGTTCGCTCTGTTGTGGAGAGTGATGGACCAGTTCAAGCGGCAGCCGTGAAAGGAATCGTTTCCGATGATACGCCAGGTCCATAGCTGCCAGAGATGGCTCTCTCGAACATGGTCCCTGAGTCCCTGACCTCTCTCTCTCAGCGGACTGCCGTCGCTCGTCGTTCCATATTGTCGGCCCCGCAAGGGGACACGTGATCGACCGTAATGGCAGTGTTTACCAGGGCCAGGACCAGGTGTGTGTGTGTGTGCGTGCATGTATGCATGCATGAGTGTATGCATGTGCGTGCGAGTGTGTGCGCGCATACATGCATGTGTATGCGTGCATCCATGCGTGAACTTTAACTAACACATACACACACACAGACCCCCCCCCCCCCCCCCCATACACCCACACACACACACACACCGTGCATACCTAATAAACATTGTCGAGGACAGGACAGCCACAGCCGGCGGAATAACACGCTGCAAACGGTCTACACAACACAACACATCACACAAACAAAGAAGGAGACAATGTGCACGTACATGAACAAGCAGTATGGCCAAAAACAGCCAGGGCCGTCACAGGGCAATGTGGAGTGATACTACAGGGGCCCGGGGGTGGAGGGGGGAATTGCCAGCCGACACAGGGCAGTGTGGATTGGTACTACCGCGGGCCCGTGGGGGGGGTTCAGCCAACACAGGGCAGTATGGATTGGTGCTACCGGAGCCCGTGGGGGGGATTTTTCAGCCAACACGATTTAGCGCTCTTTCATTGCTTTTCGGATGAATTGGGCAGATTATCCTGAAATGATGGTAGCATGTGTGACGCCCCTGACAGCATGGAAAGCCTGCATGAGGTGCTGAGAAAGCAAAGCGTGGCCAGTCTGGTTCTGGCTGCATCCACAAAGTGAGACAATCTCCAGCAGTACGCTGTTCATCCAGGTCAGCCAATCCTACTGTACGATGAATCATTCATTGGTTTGAGGGAAAGATGTAAACAGGAAAAGTCTGAGAAAAATTTGACCGTCACCACCAGGATGAATGAAAAAATCAATAAACAATTTGCGTCTTGCCATCCTAGGTAGGAAGCTTACCGAACATTTCCTGCTGCGCTGCAACGCAATCACGTGACAATTGCTGCGAACAGTTCGTCAGGAGCTGCTGGCCAAGATTTGCCGAAATGTGCTCGCACAACTCCTGCGAAGAACAACCCAAATGCCAGCCACGCACACGCACACACACACATGTACACAGACACAGACACGCACACACACATACGCGCAGAGGGAGAAGGTGAGAATGAAGTCCTGCCCGGCGGCACATGATCACAAGTTCACAACGTCATGAAGACTCTCTCGGGCACAGGGTACAGATGAAACGGGTCTGGAGATAGATACCAACTACACTCTCTTCACACACACACATGCACCACGCACACACACGCACACACAAGCACCCGACTTACCACCTACACACGACACGCTCCGTCCCCAAAAGACATACATGCACTAGCTAAAACCCTACACCACATCATGCAATCACGGTGGCAAAGCAACCAGGTCTTTACCATCTTATAGGCCAGCGTGTCTTGTTCTTGAAACGCCACCGGAGAGTCAAACTGCTCGACCATGCTCCAGAGGCGGCGGAGCTCATTGGACACTGCCGTGGCAACCTGGTCCTGGGCGTGCGAGCGCATGTGCTGGATGCGGTGATTCCACTCCTGCCGGCACGCCTCCGCCTCGCGCCGCAGTGTCTGCAGGCTGTCGCGACACTCGCGCAGACTCGTCTCGCAGCCCTCGCTGTTGTCAGGGAAACAACACCAGACAATGGCAGATATGCATGAATGCACGTATACACCACATACATAGCACACATACATACATACACGCACGCACATACACACATACACAAACACACACACACACACACACACGTGCGCGCGCGCGCGCACACACACATACACACACCACACTCCATCATTCACCCCAGTGTCTGGAGATATGTGGATTTTGTAGAAAAAAAACACACACACACACACACGAGATGCAGACACTCACGTCAAGGCACGGTAGAGCATGTAACCACAGTCTAAACCTTATAAGACGTCCCAACACGGGAACACGAAAGCTTTGCTTTCTGAAAAGAAAAAGAGAGTAATTATGTCTTGCTCATCCTCCAGGGAACCTTTCATCGTGTTCTCGAGTCTTACCGTAGTTGGATGATTTGCTGTTTGAAGTTGGCAAGCGAGTCCTGAAGGTGTGAGGCCATGTTCAAGCCTGCCCTAGCCGGCTCACCAAACTTAGTACGGATAGCATGACTGGAGATACATTCCTGTGTGAGGGGGCAAGAAGCAAACAAGAACCAAGTCAATAACAACGATAGCGACAACAATAACAACAACAGCAGCAGCAGCACCAACAGCAGCAGCAGCAGCAGAAGAAGCAGCAGCAGCAAAAGAAGCAGCAGCAGCAGCAAAAGAAGCAGCAGCAGCAAAAGAAGCAGCAGCAGCAGCAGCAACAGCAGGACACCAGCAATAAATAACCGTTCAGCGTCTACATGGAAGCAAAGGGAAACGACTCGCCGATGAACACACAGCACAGGGCAGAACATTGACTCAACTGGGAGATTGTCAGACACAGTCACGCAACACACAGGGCATTCTCAACGGAAAGAACGCCACTAATATGCACTCACCCCAAACGATTTCTCAAAGCGCTCAAACTCTTGCAAGCGCAGACGGTAGCCATCCGCCAGCGGAATAACTGAAAGAGCGAAACAACAAGAACAAAGCAGGCAGAGTCAGATCACGTTGTGCTATCCCACATATGCACATCATATTTGCATTACGTACTACTATGCTTCAGAACGCGGCATTGTGTTTGACTGCAGAATGTGAAGTACACACTCTGGTACCACATGTTCTACTTCAACAAAATCACAACAAAACGGTTTTATCGGCTTGCAAGCCACGGGGCATGGCACAGAGAAGAACAGGCCAGTTATCAAACACTGAACAACAATTACTCAGCAAAACTGGTCCCAGCTTGAAACGCTTTCTCATCATATACATATACATCGACTTGATCTAGAAGTAGTTGGCTGCTCCGAGAGTCAGAGCTCGCGCGTCCTGAGAAATTGGCTGACACTTCACTACACTTCTTCTACTGTCACCGCCGAAGTAAACACATCTCAGTTCCCATCTATCTAGATCCATTATCAAAACAGCCATGCAGTCTATATGAAAGCATCACTGAACCAGAAACGATTTCGTGAAGCTTCAGTTACATCGCTGCACAACATACTGTGCTGCTCGATGAAATCCAATCAAGCAAGTCAATGCACTGTGCAGCCCTAGGCCTGCAAAACACTGGCATGTCAACTGGTGCAGGGCGCTGTGCAGCCCTAGACCTGCCAACACTGGCATGTCAACTGGGCAAAGGGGGGGGGGGGGGGGGGGGGGGGGGCAGATTTGACTCACACGATTGGATTTCACCGAGCGGCACTGTACACGGAAATAAGTGAACAAAGACTGGCCATATAGCACACACCACACACACACACACACACACACACCCACACCCACACACACACGCACACACGCATGCACACACGCACACACACACAGAGTCTGGAAATCCACTGCACTGAATGCAGCCATTCCAATGACACGCATTCAAGTGTAGACACACGTGACTTGCTGTGAGGCAGCTTACCTGATGACGTCTTCCCTTGCTCCACCATGCGCAGATGTAAGACCTGCAGTTGAAAACAGACCGGAAATTTGATATAATTTACCTCTCATTCACGTCATCACTCCCCCCCCCCCCTTGTTCTCCAATAGTGCACATCCCTTTTGAGCGAACTTGTAACTGCATGACAAGTTGACAACACCTAGATCATCAACTGTACAGTACAGTGCTGTTCAATGAAATCCAGCCGCATCACTCGAAGTATGTACCGGGCCTTTCGCAGTCCCCGACCTACGAACGCTGCGAAATGGTGCAAGGCGCAAACTTGACTCACGCGACCGAATTTCATTGAGCAGCACTGTACAAATTACTATTAGGGCGGGAAATCACGGCCCGCACGAAAGAAAAGATTGCGGCTATACCTCCTTGGCTGAGATGAAGAAGACCCGGTCCATGCCCTCGTCTCTGTTAGACACCTGCAGCTCATCACACAGGAACTCCAGGTTGCGCTGTAGATGCTGCTTCCGGACCTACAGACAACACCCAGCACACACACAGAACACAATACAACACAGAAGAAGAAGAAGAAGAACAGCTGATCAGAGCAATGCCCAGGCACGTGCACCTCATTCACACGTGACGTGATTCTCTTTCAAATTCTGCTCACACCAGCTTAAAACTCACTCAGACTATGAAGCTAACCAGTACATAGGACACTGACACAAGGCAGGTGACAAGGCACCAGCATCATCCATAGAGGACCCGAAAGATACCCGGCCACACACCCAAGGCAGTGGGAATCGTAAGTAGTGTTGCTTGACTGCGTTGACCAGCTACACGCGCTGCATGTAGTGCACGCACCCAAGAGTATAAAGCCAAATCGACAATCTGGCCAAGTATGTCCCTAATCACTTTTAGGACCAAGCGATTTTGAGTGAAAGGGAGAGAGAGAGAGAGAGAGAGAGAGAGAGAGAGAGAGAGAGAGAGAGAGAGAGAGGGAGGGAGGGAGGGAGGGAGGGAGGGAGGGAGGGAGGGAGGGAGGGAGAGAGAGAGAGAGAGAGAGAGAGAGAGAGAGAGAGAGAGAGAGAGAGAGAGAGAGAGAGAGAGAGAGAGAGAGAGAGAGAGAGAGAGAGAGAGAGAGAGAGACTTGAGCCATAGTGTGGCCGCAGCGTAACAGGCTTTCCTAAGAGCACACTGCACATAACCACCACGCACCTCCTCCATCATCTCCGGCTCCGTGGCCGACGCATCCCAGCGATTGTTCAGGATGAAGATGTTCGGCTTGGACGAGATCTGCGACAGTTTGTGGAAGAAGTTCTTCTCCTGTGAACGAAGGCAGGACAGTGGAACAACAGGAACAACCAGAAAGCCAGAGCACATCCAGATAAGCTCATTGCACAATGACGTAATTTGTACCGCGAACACCCCACACAGCCACCTGGGCATGGTTGTCTGGGGTGTTGAACAGTGCATTGCTGATCCCAGCGTACTCACATGCATTACCCATACCTTCCTTATTTGGCAATGCGCAATGGGCTGAAAGTGTTAGCTGAAATTCTCCAAATACAGAATCTGGCTTACATAATGTGACATACAGCCATTCATACAATGTGTAGCCATATACTCAGCATCTACACACTGTCCAGTAGAGTCATCACCAATGAAACCCTGGCTGAAATCCTACTCTTGTTTATAGGGTTTGCTTTTTGGAGAAATAGAATTCAGAAACATAATAGGAAGAGCATCCCATCGGGGGATTGAGTGTATTGTGGTGCTTTCTTGTAGGTTTGCCAAGTGAAAGGTTCGACGGGCTTCTCGTGTGCTCCAGACGCAGTCGTGAGTCAGTCAAGTGTCAAGTCAGTCGGCAGGAAGCGCGAGCTCCGACGTTCGGAGCAGACACTTTCCTCATTCCATAGGAGAATGCCGAAAAGAATTCTAAAAAAAACCAAAGTTTGACCCATCTATGGCTAAAAGCTAGAAGTCTGTCTTTTTATGACGGGATCGTATTACGTTTATACGACAGCAAGCTAACACCACAATGGGTCTGCCCTTATACAGCACACCTACTGGCAACATACCGTCTGCATGAGCGTGGACTCGGCGTTGGCCACGAGCACAAACACATCGGCGTCGGTGCAGTGCGTATCAATCCATGTGTCCAGATCTGGACTGATGTCAATACCAGGACTGTCCAGTAGGACGACGTCATCGCGTAACATTGCACACTTCTCACGTGGCCAGTAGACTTTGACCAGCGAGCGACTCTCCAGCTTCTCATTGTGCAGCGAGTGGGCCAGTTGCTGGACAGTCTACACACATGCACGCACGCACGCGCGCACACAGACACAGACACACACACACACACAAGTGCGCACACACACACACACAAGTGCACACACACAAGTACACACACACACACACACACGCACACACACGCATACAACAAAAAGTTAGACATTGCCTACACAGCGCGAAAAGCCACGCACGTGTACATACTACATGTACACATATGCCTGAACACAGGCTAGCATAATAATACTGTACTACACACACACATTCATACACACACACACACACACACACACACACACACACACACACACATTCATGCACACACACACATACCAGGAAGGTACTGTTTCAATGTGACAGCACCGATGCCTTGGTACACCCATATCTCTCTTTTCCGGACCCGCAAGTTACGGGCATCTCGGTCTACCGGGCACCCTTTGGGCGAGTTTGAGTGGAAATATTACTACTCTTTTGCCAATGCTTGTGGAAATAGTGAGGTCACATGCCAGATCCGTGGCACTTTCCCCACCAAAACGCAGGTTATTCAGAGTTGGGTTTATTTCCAAGTTAGGGACGGGTAGTGCCCGGTCCCGGACTGCGCGGAAGAAGAGAGAAGAGAGATACGATTTTAAAAACAGTACTGTAGGGTAGCGCTGAAGAACAGACCAAGCTAGAATTTTACCCTGGCACAGCATACCAATGTGTGCACGGTGATTCAACTGTGCATGGTCTGTAGTATACGAAAATAAGAATGGCCTGGACTGCGAGGCTGATCCCCACCCCCACCCAGTTCTTTGGCGACCGGCAGTATTGCAGGACCGGCGGAAGCAGTTTTTGCACAGTCCGGCCATGCCCTAGCCTTTCATACAGTTTGTGTATGATATGCCAGAGGGTATACACATGACCTCCTCAGCAGTAAACACACGTCAGTGGTCAAAACGTTGGACCGGCCATGGCCTGACCAACCATACCGGTTCCGCCGGGCCTGCTGAAAAGTGATCCTCAGCTCATAGATTAGTATGCGCCGGGCCTGTACTGCATACATCAGAACAGAGCATTGCGCCGCAACAGCCCCAGTGCCACCACTAACCTGTACGCTCTGGCGATGCGGTGAGTTATTCTGCTGCAGGTACGGCGTGCCTTCGCCGGTGCCCTCCACGCAGCAGAAACAGCTTGTGGTGTGGCCGATGCCGGACGGCAGGATGCGGTCGCGCAGCATGGCGTTGATCACCGAACTCTTGCCGTTGCTGGTGCGGCCGAAGAACGCCACCTTCATCTGGTTGCTCTTGACCTTCTCGGAAACGTTGTTCAGCTTGCTGCGGTTCTGCTCCAGCAGCGAGCGTGTGCCGGCCAGCAACTGCGACACGTCCTCGCCGCAATCCCCTACGTCCGCTAGCCGCTGAACACTGTCCTCCAGCAGACTGCGAGCGTCCGCGAACAGCGAGCTGATGCGCTCCTTGGCGATGCCGAAGCGCTTCAGAGCCGGCGCACTCTTCAGGTCGGTGCTGAGCGCGGGCAGGGAGGCATGCTCGCCGGCCACGCTGTGCCTCCACGGTGCCCGCGAGCCCAGCTCGTCCACAGCCATGTTCTGCTGCTGTTGGTGGTGGTTCGTGTAACCATCCACTGACACTCCCGCCGCGCTAGAAGAGTCCATACTGCCACCGCCACTCAGGAAGCCAGACATCACGGCTCACAACCCGCTGGGGCCAGTACGAGTAGGTGCACGCGAATTACTTCACTGGTGTGGGTTCAAATAATTTCATTCACGTGCAGCTTTCACCGAGCCCACAACTCACACCGCCCAGCACAAGCACACGGCACAGCTACGTCCACACTGCACCTCCAGCGCTCATCTACAGTATCTCCTTCAGAATGCGTGCAGTAAGTAGAGCCAAGGAACTTAGAAACTAGTAGAAACAGGTGTCCACTATTAAAGTAGAAGTAGAAGTACCTAGCAGATCTACGAGAATGAAACTAAGTTACTTGAGAAATCTGCAGGTCAAATTCGGCCCTGGCAAACTAGCTCTGAAGCCGAGGTGACTGTCCACCCTGCCCCCTCAAGTACTTCTCCACGAGTCTCTCGTTCAGCTCGGATAACTGCTTTCCGATTCTCGAACAACGCCAGCTAGCTTCTGATAGAGAAAGTAACAGTAACTGATAGTTTAGTTGCACAATTCTTGTGCAAAAATACCATGATACGGTCGAACATACCAGATTCATTGAAGAATCTCATCATACACTGACACTGTGACATCATTTTCACCTTTGATTGTGACGTTGCGATGTATGGTCTTCTTCTTCGACTTCGCGCTGTAGAGCTCCTCATGAGCTCAGGGATCTAGGGAGTCGTATTTATACGACTCGGCTACCGATCCTGCTCTCCACGACCACGACCACTGGCACTGACTGTTTTCGGACATAGCGACTGGTCGCAAGTAACAGGCGTTGGCTAGGGGTGTGCGGATGGCAGATTCTGCTCGAAAAGCGGTGAGCAGAACCATACAAACCTTATGGCGGGCAATTCCTCGATTTCTGGCAGACTGCTCCATTTCTTTATCCACATACCAAACATGCATGAAACTTACCAGAAAAAGTACCGAATTCTGCCAATTTTTCTGCCTGCATTATCCGCATATGCCTAGCGTTGGCGAAAATAACAAGTGAAAGAAGTCACCGAAGCTGCGAAGGTGCCTGGCCACAAGTAACTTAGTTCCCCGTAGTAGGAGTGTAGTGTGGCAGGAAGCTGAACTAGAATGGCTGGACTGCCTCGGCGCAACTCCGCTACTTCGCTTGCAGACCAGACTAAAATAGTGGTGATCCGGTCATCAGCCTTGCAAGCTGCTTGGATGGCGTACTAATCCGAGCACACGTCGCTATGGATCGTGCTCTAGCAGCGCTACCACCGCCTCCCGCAATGGGCGTCAAAGGTCAAAGTTCACCTTGACAGATTTTCCTGTACATGTCGGTGTACATGACAGTTCTGTGTTGCCTGATGATTGCGAGAGCATGAAACTTCAAGTGGCAGCAAACAAGCCTTGATTGTCCTTGTTGTTCTGTTCTATATTACCAAGAGTACATTTTATGTACTCTTGGTATTACGCTCTGCCTCCGCGGTGTTGAGCAGTCAGCACACTGGGTACACCCTCCGGTGACAGTCGTGACTGCACAGTAAAACCTGTCAAGGCGACCACTCGGATAAAGCGACCACCTATCCTAGAAGACCACTGCAACCGGGACAAAGGGTTGCTATCTCCAGTCAAATGACTCTGGATAAGGAGACCACCTGGTAACAGAGACCACGTTTTGAAGGTCCCTTGAGCGGTCGTCTTACACAGGTATCACTGTATTTCCATTGGACCACAGTGCACAGTGTACACAATGGCTATCAGGTTCGGCCTCATTTTCTCTGTGCTGCGCTGATGAGTTCAAAAAGAACGAAACAGCATGCTGTCCGCAGATTGAGTATACAATGTCATGTATGTAACTACAACAGTTATAGAATCGACGAAATGATATTCCAATATTATGGATTGCCGCGCCTTGGTAGTGGTACCCAGTGCGATCCTGGTCTGCTGCATGCACTGAGAGTCAGACATGCAGCACAACTCACAAAATAATGAAGACCCACTCGTACTCGATCCTCCCACAACACGTGTACAATCACGTACAAAACGGAGAGGCTCCAGGCTGTCTTCCCCCCGGCCCCCTTCTTTGCCCCTTTTTCCGAGATCAGCCCCCTCGTCCTGCGGACAGCATGTGTTTCGTCCTTTGTCCTTGTACTAAAAAAGTTGTAGAGTGCTCAATGCCGAAATGCATGTCAAGCATGTCTCCGTCAGCGTGACTCATGCCACAGACAGACTGCGCCGACTTCAAGCAAGGCCACTCTCTACTCCGTAGCCTTGTCTTGTCTCAGCGGCTTTGTTGTGCACGGTATTTGCGTCTTCATGGTCTTAGTCATGATGAGTGTGTCCGCTCTATCGTCTGATCACCTGACAAAGCTATGCTGGCACCTTCACAGTCTTCGCAGTCAACTGAGTTTTTCTCTCGTCGGGTGCATGTCTGGGGAGAGATATTGACAAGTCAGGCGACGAAGGCGATCAAAGCATGCGACAGTAGACTCCAGCAGACTGCAGTGCAGAAATGTATTACCACAAAACTGTGATTGTGAACTGACACTTGCACAGTAGTCAGTACGCAAGCAGAAAGACCACTACACAAGTCATGTACGTCATATCCATCATCATAGCATTACTTGAAGGTATCACCGTATCTTCCTAATACTAGTAATAGTATAAGAACGATGAACACATGAAGAAATCCAACACTTGTCAAGAGGCCCAGTCCTGATCAAGCTTGCCTTGCTCTCGCGCTCCGATCCGAGTTCTTGCATCGGTTGGACTGCCTGGACAAGTCAAAAATTTCCTACAGTAATACTAATAGGTTTGCTTCAGTGTTCAGTGCAGTCTGCATATGCACACGTGTTGATAACGTTACGTACCGAGATTTGTGAGGACACTAGCAAGCAAGTCAGTGCAGCAACATAGTGCTGTAGTACATGTAGTCGTGGGGAGAACGCTTCGCTGATCGCTAGGCACAGCAAGCCGCAGACCACTGAGATATTCGCCTAGATAGAGGTAAGGGATATTATACTGGATGCGGGAGGGTGTTGCATGGTTTACTGCTCCACGTAGGCATTGAATGGGACATATTGCATGGTTGCTAAAAATTATTCTTACTATTATTATGAAAATGACCCAAAGGCAATAGGCCTATCGAGGGTTCATTTGAATGAAGTTGAAGACACCACTGCAGCTAGCTGTACTTATGGTTGAAAACTAGGGTTCATTTGATTGAAAGAACAGTACAAGACTATTAGATCTACTAGTACAGTACTAGTGGTACCAGTATGTACACGTACAAAGACAGGTAGGGCTTGATGAGATTGCAAAGAGGGGTGCTTGGTCTCATCGTACTGACCAGAGATATCTTGAATAAATTAGAGCCGCTGGTGACACGCAGCCCAGCACCACACGTACACACGTACACACGTACACACACACACACACACACACACACACACACTTGTACTTGGACTTGCTGCTCACTGCCAAAACTGGTCACGTGGGTCTCCCCGGGAAAGGGCAGAGAGACTCAAAAGGAATCTTGGAAAGATGACTCAATTGGCTATTGAACCGCTCAATGGCCGACAGCCCCTGAAACCCCCAAAACTCTGGGTAGACTTGCAAATGATCCCACTTATGGGCTCACCACACCTCACTGAGTAAGTGGGTGAGGACAAGGTGCAGAAAAAGGATTGACGGCGTCAGGGTATCCGTCCAGGGATCCAACTGCAGTTACCCCTGTCCCCAGTGAAGGTAATACTTGCTACTAGCGTGGGTGGCTAAATCAGGGTGAATCCAATATAAGCTTCACTAGCTTCAAATAGAAAGTACACACACACACACACACACACACACACACACACACACACACACACACACACTGTTCTGCATGTGTACTCAACCACAGCAGTACATACACTGATACAGTACATTCATGAAGTCGAATTTCAGGGGAAACACTGGCCTGTTCTAAGCATTGGGGGCACGATCACTTCAATGCACATCGGGAGTCCATTCATAAAAAGATGATATCCCACCTTTAGCCATAAATGGGTCCAATTGTGAGATTTTTCACAACTATTTTTCTTTGCAATCCGGGCCCCCATAGAATACCTCCAATTATGTGTACGGTGCACTGAGTTTTTGATACCCCACTCGCATTGAGTTGTGACATGGAGTATCAGCCATAGCTACGGTACATACTAGTATCCGCTTATAGAGATGAATTGCTCAAAAGCAAAGACCAACGCTATGGGCGATACGTACTTTGCTCCTTTTCTTCGAATGTCTTTTGCAGTTTGGCAAGTAAAAGAGTGGACATAGACAGCTACAGCTATGGCCGCCATCTTTAACAGCCGGTTATACCTCGTTGTTGTCGTCGTGATGGTCATTGCTCTGCAGTGTACCTATGCCAGGAACCATGATGCAATGGGACATGACCCAGTACCCAACTATTGTCAATGTAGGTGACAGTCCTCCATGTGTGTGTGTGGGGGGGGGGGGGTCTTTCTTCTCTTTCTCGGACTCTTCCTGACTTTTCTTTCATTCTCCTGGGTGGTTACCAACAGCCAGAGTATGTGGTGTGGTGTGTGTGTGTGTAGAAAAAATAGAAAAAAGAAAAAAATGGAAAAATGAAAAATAGGGATTCACTGGCCAGAAAAAGTCACTTCAATCAGCTGTGTGGTGGATACCAGGCTAAAAATAGTGGCGGTCAATTCATCAGCCTTGCAAGCTGTTGAATGATGTAATCCCAGCACAAGTTGCTATGTCTAACATAGCTGTTCGCTATCATCGCTTCCGCGATGGGCAGGTCTGAGGTCTGAGGTGTGTGTGTGTGTGTGTGCCAGTTAGTTCTGTCGGTGGATACACTTCTACCAGATACAGTAAAACCTGATGTAAGCGACCACCTGCTCTTAACGACCGTTTTTCCATGCACGGACAGCTCTACACAGACACTGTGGTACATGGTTATAAAGACCACCTGCTTTTCCTTGCACCGTGGGGTGGTCGCTTAAACCAGGTTTTACTGCAGTGCTGGGTCTGTTGCCAACGAGCTCGGCAGCTTGGAAGTGTAATGTTGTACCTGCCACTTCAGAACCACAGGAAGCAGTTTTGATCAAGGAGCCCTACACAATCATAATGTGTAGGGCTCCCTGATTTTGATTGTTCCGGCAGTGTCCTGACCTTGCAAACTTTGTGTATGATATGGCGAGTACACATGACCTCCATACTAAAGTAGCGGCCAAAATGGCGTAAAAATAGAAATCACAACAGTTTGGGTCCGATGATCCCCCCTCCCCCCTCTGCACTTTTGTTCTGGCTATGCATATAAGTATAACCCCATGTGTGTTTGTGTGTGCAAATGCGTGTGTGTTCATGCGTGCATATATTTGTGTTCGTGTGTGCGTGTATTCTAGACACCATCAACCTGGCGGCTAAGGGGTATGACGTGGTGGCCTACTTCAGCCTGGATGCCAAGTCGAACGGCACGATAGGCAGTTCCGAGCACTCGTTCGTCTTCAACAATGCCACCTTCCACTTCTCTTCCGTGCAGAACATGGTCATGTTCAAGAGCAATCCCTGGAAGTATCACCCGGCCTTTGGCGGCTTCTGCGCGTTCGGCATGGCCAAGTTCCCGTCGACACTCAAGGAGCTCCAGCAGCATCCCCCGATCGGGCCGCCTATCTGCCCTCTAACCCAGTGGACGGTGTTCAACGGCACCCTGTACCTGAACGACTGCGCGACCCGCGATCAGTGGCTGGCCAATCGCGACACGTTCATCAAGGATGCAGTGGACCGATGGCAGAGCTACTTTGGCATGCAACACGGTGGGCCGACAAACATTGACTGCTTCGGTCCATAACAAAGGCAGCATAGCAGAACTGCATTGCACACATGCAAGAATTGATGAAATGGAATCTTACACGAGTTAAAGTGCATGACACATGTATTTTGTCAATTATTTGCACAGACCTTGACCGATCAGCTATTTACGCGATCTGTCAGCACGAAGTCTTAAATCGACACCCATCGCTTTTAAAAACACCCAAGATCCGGGAATTCTTTTGCCCTTTTTAATTTTTTTTATTTGCCACGACCCTTTTGTCTTCACAGTAGAGTCACGGCCCAAGAACTGATTCATCCAAGGGCTGCTTCATCCCGAGGCGTTCTTACTTTTCACGAATCTGGCTGCGTTCTTAGAAACAATTTGTACCGCATGTATCGTAAACTCATAATGATTACGATCCGCGGTCTTGGTTAGTCGTCACCGTTCCCATGGTAAAATACGAATGAATGATACTACTACAGACCCAGGTTCACGTGTGATTTGTGTGTGCCAGCTTGTTCGATTCGTGGGTGCAAGTTTAGACGAAAGTAGTTGTGCCTGTTGCCTCCAGGCTTTGCTGCTTTTAGGTGTACACTCAAACAGCGCCTGGACTTGGTTCTTGCATATAATCCGCAATGGTGCAAAAAAACACCATAACGGTTTTACCCCTAACGGTTAACTGCTAAGCTAACGGTCGGTTTAACGGTTATAACCTATAAGCCACGGCAATCCTGCGGACTCTTTTTTAACCGTATATTTGACTATACTCATTCAAAAATGTACCCTATTCAGTACAACGCACACTTGTACATTCTCTTGCATGCTCATTCATATGTACTCTCACACCAAGAGACCAGCTATGACCGAGTTGACAGCCCAGAAATTGCGTACGCGTGCGACAGCCTGCGAAAGTGCATACTTTGCAACGCCTTGATACTTGAAAAATTGACTGAAAAGTTACTGCGTAACCGTTATCTTTATCGGTTAACCGTTAATTCTTCGTAACCGGTCTGCAACCGGTTAATCGGACTAACCGTTTGAGCCCTATATCCCACCCTAACATTTGTATCAGATATTGGTAAAATGCAGTTGGATCCGGGGACGAATACCCTGATGCCATAAAACAGCATTTCCATTCCATGTCCTCACCAATGCACTTACTGTAGTGCATTATGATGAGCTGTTGACTGGGTTTATTATTATTTTTATAATATCTTTGAAGTTTATCCATAGGCTGGACTTTGGGGGGGGGGGGGGGGGGGTGGTTGTGGAGTATTTGTTCTTCCAGGAGTCCATAATCCCGGATTATGGACTCTTGGTTCTTTCGATAAGAGCATGCGAGACAAAGAATACGCATGAGTACCGGTACTCCTTTTGTGCCTGGTAGCCATGCGCGTCGCAATGATGCAATGTTTGTGTTGGCATGTGTGTAGCGTATCGTAATTCGTAAGTATGATCTTGAACACAAACATGTATCGATCGCATGCTATGTTGGATGTAGTTATGGAAATCTGTGGCAGTGTTCATTTTACTGATCTGCTCTATTTTTGCAGCCCACAAATGAAAAGTACCAGTTGATCTGCCACACCGCTTTACCCTTGTTTGCCTCTAACCAAGGAGTCGTATAATACACTGAATGTGTTGCGTTCCTGTGATTCCTTTCTGTTCTCACATTTTGTTGAGCTTGAATGAAGATCTTGTGTCAACGTCAAGCATAGTACAGTACTGTAAAAGCAGAAAATTTCGTCGGTCAATAATTTCGTCCAACTCCAAAGAAAAGGAGTTCGTCCGGTCGAAAATTTCGTCCATGGATCATAAGAGTGTATTGAAAAGCTGGACAAATCGACATTAGCCCGAAATTTACTAGCTATGCAGAAGACGTTACTTCAGTAACGTCTGGCGCTAGCCAGGGTCCACACAGCTTTAATTCCCGTAGCTATGCAGAAGACGTTACTTCAGTAACGTCTGGCGCTAGCCAGGGTCCACACAGCTTTAATTTGGTGTTTGTTTGTTTGTGTCACGCCTGGCGCTATCCCGTATCTGTACCGTACTGTACCGTACCAGCAAAGACAGCTGGCTACTATATGTTTGTTTGTTTGTGCCATCGACATGCCTGGCGCTATCCCGTACCTGTCCCGTACCATCAAGAGTACGGTACCATCAAGAGAATGAGTATATATGCGAAGTGTACCGGGGGAATGCATTCAGTGCAGTAACATTTTGTGTGGATATATGTGCGAGGCCGAGAACCCACTAGCAGGCTGGCTGGTCCGCCTGTCGACCAGCCCAGGGGCCAGGGATCGCATGTAGGCTGATAGCATAATATTAATAATTATAAAGTATCAGATTGAGTAATTATAACGTATATACAGTCATGGAGATCTATAGCAGGGAGTCATATTATGTAAACGACTCCCTGCTGTATGGGGAGATTTTCTGAAAAAAATACGAAGTAGGGAGACGAGTGAATGCAATCAGAAAATCTCCCCATACAGCAGGGAGTCATATTATGTAAACGACTCCCTGCTGTATGGGGAGATTTTCTGAAAAAAATACGAAGTAGGGAGACGAGTAAATGCAATCAGAATGCCGTCAGTATAATAATAATAGACATCCTTAGCTAAAAAAACGCTAACGTAAACGCAAACCGTTCCGTACTTCGGATCGTTCAAGCTGACTTTTCCCTTTTAGCACAAAGTACGTTATAGTTGAGACGAAGTAGTCGTGACAACCATGGCGATATGAATTTTCGTGGAAACAGATGCGGGAAATTCAAAATTTTGAACCAGGGATTAGTTTGCTGTCGTTCCGAAAGAATACCTTGGCGAGGTCTTTTACTCTGGAATAGCAAAAGCACGGCGAAAATGAGTTTTCGCTGTTTCCAGGTCCTTGGAAAATCTTTCCTAAACGCAGCACCGAAGACTGTAAGGGTTCTCCAGCTCCTTCCTCAGGAGTGCCATGGAACTGGTCCTTTGTTTGCCAGATGGGATAGAGGGAGAAAGGCACGAAGCAGAGGACGCAGACATTGTCAACTGAAAGGCAAAACTCGCCAAAAAAGCTAAATGTCACAAGAGGAAGCAATCTCGACTCTCATCTCAATCTGCACGTGCTTTTTATCTCCCGCCAGTTACAAAACAATGCGAGTTTTTGCATTTTTTGCAGAGTTTCCATAACGAACGTCGGCCCGTTATTTTGAGCTCTGTAACGTTTTTCCGTTATCTGATAACATCTTTTGTCACGGCTGGGAGTGAGTACCGTAAAAGTTAGCGTTATCGTACTTTTGCTAAGGATATCTAATAAGAAGAAGAACGCCCGTGATCGGCAGAGTCAGCGCCGGTCCCATAGCTATGCAGAAGGCGTTACTTGTACTTCAGTATCTCATTGAAACGTTTTTGCAATACAATGATGTAGCTAATCAAGGGAAAAAGCATTTCCATCAGTTCTAACAACATGCACGATGAGCTAGGCAACAAAGCATAGCGCAGGGCCCTGAGCTTCCAAGCTCTCTCGTTTGGTATTTGCGTGTTTGTTTGTTTGTTTGTGTCACGCCTGGCGCTATCCCGTATCTGTCCCGTACCGTACCATCAAACACAGCTGGCCACATATACAGCTGGCCGCAATATTCAAATAGGGCTTTCAAACGCAAGATCATAACGTGAAGCAACTTGGAAGAATGGGTATGAATGCGAAGTGTATGGGGGAATGCATGTAGGGCGATAGTGCGGATTCGAATCCCAGGATATGCCTGAAAAAAAAATAGGAGAATTGAAAAATTGATAACATCCCTATGCTTTTTTTGCCGTCATCAAGGCGGTAGACGGTGTCGTATTACCCTCGATCGTACCTGTCCCGTACCGTACCATCAAAGACGGCTGGCCACAATGCATATTCAAATAGGGCTTTCAAATGCAAGATCATAACGTGAAGCAACTTGGAAGAATCAGTATGTATGCGAAGTGTATCGGGGAATGCATGCAGGGCGCGCGATAGTGCGGGTTCGAATCTCTGGTTATGTCTTGAAAAAAAAGAATTTTTTTAAAGAATTTATAACATCCCTATCAATTTTTTTGTCTAGGTCATCAAGGCAAAAAAGCATAGCGTAGGGCCCTGAGCTTCCAAGCTCTCTCGTTTAGTCCAAAAGCTCCTTGGTCGAAAAGGACGAAATCAAATTGCAGCCGAATATTTCTACTTTACAGTATTGTACTACTAGTACTCCGGGGCTAGAACTCTGAGTCTCTCCTCTCACCCTGGTACTTTATGTACTCCGAGTAACAACGAAACAGCCCTAGTATATATATTTTTTTTAATATTAAAAAAATTGGATCGACATCATTGTGCTAGCTTTAAAAACACTCGAGCCTTTTAAAGGGGAAGTATACCATAAAATCAAATTTTCACCAATTGTAGTCTTCTGGGTGCTGAGTCGAATGGTCTTGGTCCGAGGAAGCTGCGACGCTCCCTTCCTACTTGAATCCCAATCGAACTCGCGCACTTCCACCGAAACTGGGTGACTGCGCCCTACTAGATGGGGATTTGTATGCAAAAATGTCACTAAAAGCGCCATTTCGTTCTTATAAAAGCACGGATGACCGCGATTGGCCCATATATTGTAGTCTTTTGGACGCTGAGTCGACTGGTTTTGGTCCGAAAAGGCTGCGATGCAGCGTTCCTCCTTTATTCCCAATCGAACGTGGTTGAACAAGCGGTCACGTGCTCCTGGGTGCCCAAATCACCTGGTCACCGCGCCAGCAGGCTACAACTTTCACACCAAGGTTCCACTCGAGTTCAACTCGAGTGACAGGACTGCACCCAAAAAAGGTCAAACAGGCTAGTAAGTTGTACCCTGCAGGCACGGTGACCAGGTGACCGGTGTACGCAGGAGCACGTGACCCCTTGTTCAACCATGTTCGATTGGGAATAAAGGAGGAACGCTGCATCGCAGCCTTTTCGGACCAAAACCAGTCGACTCAGCGTCCAAAAGACAACATATGGGCCAATCGCGGTCATCCGTGCTTTTATAAGAACGAAATGGCGCTTTTAGTGACATTTTGCATACAAATCCCCATCTAGTAGGGCGCAGTCACCCAGTTTCGGTGGAAGTGCGCGAGTTCGATTGGGATTCAAGTAGGAAGGGAGCGTCTCAGCTTCCTCGGACCAAGACCATTCGACTCAGCACCCCGAAGACTAAAACTGGTGAAAATTTGATTTTAGGGTATACTTCCCCTTTAAGCCGTCACTGAATGCCACAGCCCCCAGTTAAGAACGGCGGTGTTGATTTCGGAATACAGAGGATTCCGTACCAATTGTTTCTAAGAACGTGCTATGAGAACGCAGCCAGATTGCTGAAAAGCAAGAAGAGCCCAGGCTAACGCCTGGAAAACAACGTTCTTGGACTCGCAACTGTACTGTACGTCTGGCAAGCATTCACTCTTCGCCATCCCGGTCGCTTTGAAGGCTGGTATAACAGTCCAGGACCGTCAGAAACGTACTGGCATGGTACATGTATCACATTAAAATTTAACGTCAACGTGGGCATTTTGTAAGTAATAGTTGGACATTCCCTGCTTATACGCCTCACATGTGGTCGGGGTTTCAGGATTGAATTATTGGTAAAGTAGAGCCGCGCGTCCAAGAACATTGCATAATTTGTTTCCTGGGGCGTTTAAAATTTTCAGCAATCAGGCTGTGTTCTTATAGCACGTTCTTAGAAACGATTCATACTCAATCTCCGTACTGGATCATTATGTATCCCAAAAGCTGAAGGAGAACCAAATCCACTGCTCATAACTTAAGCCTGTGGCGCTCTTAGCATTTCAGGCTGGACGTTCTTGGGTTCCATTCTTCGGCGCACAACTCTACTGTAGCAGGAAGCATGTCACTGGTGGAATCCTGGCAGAGTATATAACCCCCCCCCCCCCCCCCCCCAAGAGTGTGCAACGCCTGATCCAGCTCTACATAGGGTCATGGTCGAGCGTAATTGGATCTTTGCGTCATTATACCGTACATGTACACATCTGAGGGGAACCCAGGGAGTCGCGGGGACTCTCGGTTCAAAAACAACGGTGCCGTGCCTCGAGACCGGCCTTGCGCTGGTGCGGAGTGTACGCATGACATCAGAAGATCCGACTACGCTCGGCCAAGACCCCATGCAGAGCTGGATCAGGCGTTGCACACTCTGGGGGAGGGGGTTAGGTACTCTTGGTAAGCACCCAAGATACGGATCGTTCGTACATGTGCGTGTGTGTTTGTGTGTACGTTGTTACTGGGCCATGGGTAGAAAACAACACACCAATTGTAGTAAATAAGTGAAACAGGGGATGGTTCAAATCGTGGTGCTCCATGCATTCCAGACCAGCACTTGCATGAATGCAGCCTCCACGCAGTACTGTTCGTCCATAGCTAGATATCACAATGCAGCTGCTACCAGTTGAATCCAGAAGCACCTCTCACTGACTGATCAGCTATGTACAGCATACACGTATATGACGTACGTCCAATGGAAGGAAGTTCTTTGAACAAATCGAATGCACTGGAGCATCAAAGACACAAAGTCACCAAGATCTTAAAAAGTAAAAGCTAAGAGCTCAAAAATGGGCACTGCGTAACTGTTACTTTGCAGATCAGCAATATGTCTAGAATGATCCAAAGATGGAAGACAAGTCAGCATCACCACTAGGCACTACATGTAATCATGGTAATCACGCTCAGAAAAGCAACTGAACAAAAAAGCTCCATCATCCATCTCGAAGCATCTCACAAAACTGTCAACTCGCTCCTGTGTTGTCGAGTTGGTAGAAAATTGAGCAGAAAATCTTGAAACCGACGGACTAAACCAGAGGAATTTGACTGATGTTAGCTGTTTTTGGTGTGTTTTAGGTCGCACACCAGAGGTTTACATACATTTTGACGGTTTTACATAAATTTCGTCACGAGAATGCTATGTACGCATGCGCGAGGTGTCCATCTTCCTTTCTCTCCAAACTGCTGCACAGGGAACTTGTGTTTCTTGGTGAGTTGATCATCTTTCTACGAATTGTCTTGACGTTGCGGACATCATCAAGTAGTATTTGTTGTTGCTGTTTGCTGCGTAATTAAATAGCCAGCAGAACCGTCACAATGGGACGTCGTCCAGCGCGGTGGTAAGGCTTGGTTTTCTCGTTCCCCATTCTTATTTGTTGAAAAATTGTCAGACATAGCTTATGTTTTTTTTGTGGGACATGTGTGTTACTTTCCTGTCTCTTTGTCGTCTATCTTGATCTCTTGGTAAACGTGCGTTCTGCCTTTTAGTTACCGCTATTGCAAGAACAAGCCATACCCGAAGTCTCGTTTCTGTCGTGGTGTGCCCGGTATGTAACCTTCGTAAAATATGAAGTGATGTTCTATGTTCACTGGTGTATGTTTTACTGCATCCAAATCACTGAGATTGAGAATCTAGCACTCTAACTAAGACTTGTGTAATGTGTATTCTTTCCAGACGCCAAGATCCGCATATTCGATCTTGGTCGCAAGAAGGCAGACTGTGCAGACTTCCCCCTCTGTATCCATTTGGTGTCGGACGAAATTGAACAGATTGGCAGTGAAGCCCTTGAGGCCGCACGTATCTGTGCCAACAAGTACCTTGTGAAGCATGCTGGTAAGGATCAGTTCCACATGAGAGTGCGGGTCCATCCCTTCCACGTCCTGCGTATCAACAAGATGTTGTCGTGTGCCGGTGCTGATCGGTGAGTTCTCAATGTAAAATCATACATTTTTACTTGACAATTGTCGTGTACGCATGCATACCTACTAACACGCCAGACGGTAAACTAGTGTAAATGGACATTCTTTCTTAATTGTTGCCCACACATTCACAACCAGCTTACTCGTGCCAAATGTATCGAACTTTCTACTAATCAAGCTCCATGCGAATATGTTCTTTGTCGATCTTAGAAATAGAATTCAGTTGAAATTATGCAATTATTTCTCAAGTGAAAAATTGTGCACAAATCTTTACTTTCAATTTTTGTGATATTACGTACTAGAACTAGGTCAATGTTATTGTCAGTGCTCTAGTAGCCTGATCAAAGTGCTATGCTAATAAGCAAGGTTTCTATTGTGCTGCTTCTCCCGTTCACAGTCTTCAGACCGGAATGCGTGGTGCTTTCGGAAAGCCCCAGGGTACCGTTGCTCGTGTGAAGATTGGACAGCCCCTCCTGTCCATCCGTACCCGTGATGTCCACATGGCCAAGGCCATTGAGGCTCTCCGTCGTTCCAAGTTCAAGTTCGCTGGTCGCCAGAAGGTGAGTCACACGATATTTTCATATTGTGACTACTAGAAGTTCGAGTTCTCCCCTCGGATGTGTAGTTGCGTAATACGGTACCATGTGTTTCAACAACCACACCCATGACATATTTACCGGTTGTGTCCTGTTATAGGGTTGTTAATACGAGCAGTTGTGGATGTCGTGCACACTGCGTCTAATTGTATCGAAATCACGGGTTTAGCTGGTATCAGGATGCCTAACATTTGAACAAATTTGGTACCAGTATGGCCAGCCTTGTTTAGTAATAGCAAGAGTCCATAACCCCCAGAGTGTGCAATGCGCAATAGGGTCTTGTCACGACTCGTTTTCAACATTGCGTCATTTTCATGTAGCTGCGCGTGCAGGCCGCTACATGAAAATGACGTTATGTTGAAAACGAGTCGTGACAAGACCCTATCGGGCGTTGCCCACTCTGTGGGTTATGGACTCTTGGTATTAGTCATGTGATAGTTATAAATTACAGTACCAGTACTTTGTGTATAACACATGTGTAGAATACACTGCAGATCATGGACATATCATCGGAATTGTGCCAATTTACCAAAACTCCTTATCCAATTCTCTAACCGTCTGTGCATGTCCTTTCATGCCACCCAACAACCTTGTGTAGATAACACCCGTAGCTGTTTTACCCAGGTTTCCTGGTCATGGCGTGCAGGTGTTGTGTTTAAAAGCTGGCTGTCTGTCAGCTGTGCAACCTCCTCTCACCTTGGGGTTGCTCCGTTTTCCGCCTTGTTGCAATGATGAGAAACTATTCCGATTGACTGTGGTGACTTTTGTTTTAATTTCTGAGCAACAGGGCGGCAGCGTGGATGTGTGATGTTTTTGTTTTGGTTCCACATACCATAGGTTTCCTGTGGCAGTGATGTGACTGGGGAATGTGTCTGTTTTTTTGTTGTTATGGTGGCTGTTCTTAGATCTACATGTCCAAGAAGTGGGGATTCACCAAGTACCCGCGTGAGAACTTCGAGGCCAAGACTGCTGCTGGCATCTATGAACCAGACGGTGTCCATTGCCAGTACAAGCCCGACCACGGTCCCCTGGCTGCATGGAAGAAGCGTATGGCCTCCAGGCATTAAGCGCGTTCTTTCCTGTTCTTGAAGCCACCAACAACCAGCTTGCCACTACCATCACAACAGCAACGAGAGAAATAAACAATTGGAAAAGAAAATAATCTGTGCTTTTTGTGTGCGTGTCTGTGTGTTTGTCTTGCATGCTGCATCTTCACTAGTGCACTCTGACTTTCTTTTGTAGACGTTGTACAGCTGCTCAAAGGCTTCTAATGGCAGAGTATTGAAAACCAAGAATGTGCAGCTCTGATGCGTCTCTGTAATGGTGATATTCCTGGGATTATGTCACTACAGGGATAAAGTGTGTATGCGCGGGTCTCTCTCTCTCTCTCTCTCTCTCTCTCTCTCTCTCTCTCTCTCTCTCTCTTGCTCTCAGCTGTCATGTAATCCTTGTCGTGACACCCGTGTAGAAAAGTTCAGAAGTTGCATGCTTTGGTTTTCAATTTCTCTGTGCGTAACCATGATTGTGCAAGGAGCTGGAAAGAAATCGCCCATTGTAGAACTATTTCATTTCTTCAGACTACATGTATTAAAAGGCCGATTGACAATACAGTAGAGTCGCGCCCTGAAGAACGTCTAGCCTGAAAACGAATTATTACTTGGCTGAAGCTAAGAACGGCTGTGTTATTTTTTTCTGACAGCTTGTGGGATACATGTCATAATTATGATCCAGTACGGATTGTTTCTAAGAACGCAGCCCAATTGCTGAAAAATAAGAACGTCCCAGGCTAACCCCTTGGACCCAACGTTCTTTGGTGCGTGACTCTACTGTACAGCTTTTTGCGATAACTGTGACTAGCTGGCTACGACCGCGCATGATAAATGGTTCGCAATTAATTTTTTGTTTTTGTTTTGCGACATTCCTTGCGTGCATCCAGAGTAAAAAGTTACTAAAAACTGGTTAATTTTGGGACGGGCATTTTCTTGTCACGCAGCAAACACAGTTACTGTACAATCGGCTATATTACATAGGCCACGAAACCGAAGTAATTGCACGCTCTTGGTTATTTTTGGAGGTCTAAAATGCACGGTAACCCCCTAAAATTATATATTTCTAGTTTCTATGAAGTATGAGGATCCCAAAAATTGAATAAAAAAGGCATGTCCATGAAGAAATTATGAAGCTGTGCACCCAATTGTACTTTGCGGACGGGCATTTCTGCGAAGTTCATTTTTGTACTAAAATTGCTATTTTTCTGAATAGTCAATGCTGATTGCCAGATTTTCTTGCTCAAACGCTTCACTGTGATGTGTGGAAGGACTTACAATCACAAAGAGAAGCCAGACAACTGGTAAATCTGAAATATGACCCCAAAACAAGCAAATTTAGGCCGAATCGATAAATACACCCACCCCTAGAAATACACCTCAAACAGCCTTATCTTCGCGGAAACACCCCCTGAATTTTTTTGTGGAGTAACATGGGATGATACAGAGCACACTCATCCACAAAAAGGAGGGGGTTTATGAAGAAAAAAATCACCCCCAAAGGGTTGGAGCCTCCTTAAGGGACCATCGCAGAAGCCCCCGAAACGAAGACCGTTAGTTTCGGGCCTGACCCCCCTCAAACGAAACGACAGTCACAATATGGGCTTCATTATTTCACTTGGATGCTCACACATAATAATTATTATAATATACTACACAAGCATTGTTGTATCAGTGTGTAACAATGTACAGCACTTTATAAATGCAACAATGATATCACCTTGCAGTGGGTGATCTAAGAACGAGAACAGCTAGAGCTATGCAGTTGTATCCTTTGAGCATGCTAATCTATATCAGCTCCTACATGTCGTCAATACTTTTTTGAATTGAAGCCCGGTTTGCGATTTTCGACACCGACTCCCTCCCCCCCCCCCCCCAAACGTATGCTCTTCGTTTCAGGGGCTTCTGCGAACTTTTGCGATGGTCCCTAACGAGGAGAAATCTGTCGCTAAAATAGAAATCGACACATACTGTCGTATTGAGCGTTGAGAATGAGTGAGAATCGTTACCTTTGGTACACGTAAACTAGTCAATTTTGGGATATTGTTATTATATGCGCCTCGTTAGAATAATGGCTTTTACAGTACATCATAAAAAAAAAATTATAAAAAAATAATAATAATATAACTTTGCTGTCCCCCGAGGGACCCCGTGAATTCTGGAAATACTGCAGAAAAAGAAACTGCTTTTTGTGGAGACTTTATGTATTTCACAGCCAAACCAACTTACTTGCTTTTGACTTTCAAAATCAACTCATGGTAGATTCTATTTTTGGACCAGGATTTCGCATCATGAATTTTGGTTCAGAATTTATAGGGACAACAAACTTGCGGAAATTCCATCTGTTTTTACGCTCGTTTCCCTTAGCCTTGCAGAATTTGGAAGGATCTGAACAATTAGCGCAGAATTTCATTACTGTTGCAAGCTACTATAGTTGTTTCTAAAGCATATTTACAATACAACTTTTTAGGACACGACATGCAGCACGGCACCTGCGACTACCACACGCCAATCACAATGTGTTTACGTTTTTTGCTACACCCCTATGCACGTGCATCCAAAGCAGAAACTGTACTCCATTATGATTTGTGTTTGTCGCCCCCTAAAAGGGGGAACAGCTACGCCACTGAGAAAGGGCACACCAAACCAAGCCATAGTCAAAGGCACTGCTGTCCCACGAACCAGCATGGGAGAAAGCTCAGGAATCTACTAAATATCCAGTGAAAAGCACACAAAGTCAAAAAAAGGAGTTCTGTCCTAGTTCTGACAGCAAAGGAGGTGCACTGTTAGAGGCAGGTTCGTATGCATGGGAAGGGTAAAAATATAACATAGACACTGAGGAAACAGCATGGAAAAGCAGTAGCACTAGCAAGAATTTGGATAGGTTTTCAATAGAGTTGCAGCTATATCGAACACACACACGTACACACACTCATGTACACTACACACAGATGCACCCATACAAATATACACACAGATGCACCCATACAAATATACACACAGATGCACCCATACCAATACACACACAGATGTACACATACACACGTATGTACACATAATAATGTAGCCACACACACACACACACAAATTTTGCCTTGAAATGACCCACGTGCAGTCACCAGCATGGATAGTGTGACTGCACAATCATGCTATGATGCCCTCTAGCTCTTTACGCAACACAACACAGTCACCACTGGGCTCTCTACATAGAGGCAGTACACCTCAACCTACTCAGATCAAGGACTCACTATCTGTGGCAGGAAGAGCACAGTACTATACAGCTCTAAACTGGCACCCTAACTTTTTGGTGTCTCTCTGACATAGTTGTAGATATCGTGAAAACAACAGTACATCCTGCATTGTGTGACCCGTGCAATTACTCCTTGCCACATTTGAGGCCAGAAAAGTCCAAGAACAGGGAAATAGAAATTCAGCCAGGTTTTACAAAATTAGGACAGGTATGCCATGGCAAAATGTATGGAGAAGCAGATCCAAAACCCAGATTTTTGAGATTTAAAGTGGCTTTTTGATCCTCAATTCGGCCCAAATCCGACTTTCAAAAGCCAGCGGGCCAGTTTCCGATGAATGAACCACAATCATATCAGAGCTTCTTGCAGTGGCAGCAGCACAGACATGTTACGATGCCCTGTGGTCCAGTACACGTAACACAACAAAGTCACCACACAGCTCTCTCAGCTATTGTACACAGAGGCAGTGCACATCAACCTGCTAGAGAGCGCTATGGGCAGAGCACAATACAGCTCTCTATTGTAAACCACATATCAGAGCTTCTTGCAGTGGTAGCAGCACAGTCATGCTATCATGCCCTGTAGTCCAGTACGTAACACAATAAAGTCACCACACAGCTCTCACTGCTACCAGTACACACTGGCAGTGCACATCAACCTGCTAGGGTGCACTAAGCACAGTACAGCTCTCTAAACCACAAACTCAGTATCAGAGCTTCTTGCACTGGCAGCAGCACAATCATGCTATGATGCCCTCTCGTCCAGTACGCAACACAACAAAGTCACCACACAGCTCTCTCTGGAGGCAGTGCGCATCAACCAGCTGAGCTTCTTGCAGTGGCAGCTGCATGGGCTAGCTACAACGAGAGCATACCCCACCACGCATATGTCGCCGGAAGTCAAACTGCATAGACAGTTCGGGTGACGATCGTCGAGGACTATCAGCTTTTCAGCTTCATCGAAGTGAACGTCTGTAGAAGATCGGCAACCTCAGACACCTGCAGGAACACACCACACAGAGATCACATGACGTTAACGTTATGAAGTCAGTACATGTACTTCTAGCTGCGCCCTCCTTTGGCTAGAACCCTGAAACCTATACTGTAAAACATGTAATTTTAGGTGCATTAAAATTTCGGCGCCAGGGACGGGTTTCAGGTGTAATGTAGAATTAGGTGACCAGCGTTCCCTTCGCATACAGTGCATACTCTAGTGCCTGTAGGTGTAATTTAAATTTAGGTGCCTGGTTTCTCTACTGTAATCACCGAAATTAAAGTTACACCGAAAATTACATGGTTTACAGTACATGGATTTCAAAGAGTGACACAAGCACCCCCCCCCCCCATATTATCCATTTACTTTCGGAAGAAACATTCAAATTAATTGAAAGCATTGCAAATGTGCCCATATAAAGGTGACTCTCCACAGCGCGCCTGCCACACATGGATATCACAGTCCAGCTGTCTGCCACAAATGGGAAACTGGCCTGAGCTGTCTTTCAGTCACCTATTGATAATGGTACGAGCACCATTCAGAGTACAGAACCCCCAAGAGTGTGCAGCTCTACTATGGGTGTGGTCGTGACAGGATTTCAAGTTGACGTTATTTTTATGATGCAATGCGCACTGAGTGCGTTCGATGATGCCCCATTCATGAATCGATTCGCGCTCTTCACATCACCCCATGTGAATAGGGTGAATGGATTCTGAATCGAGCCCAGGGCTCAGGACATGAAATCGAACGGCGAGATTCCATTCATGAATCGATTCAAGTGCGTAATTGAACGCACTCAATGTACACGGATTATCAGATGAATCCGGAACCTGTGGTGGACCAAAGGCTATCTGATCCTGTAGAAATTATTGCAAAGAAGAACGTGTGATGCGTTGACACCCGTACACATGTTGCAAATCACCGGTGCAAGGAGCATTGCATCATAAATAATGACGTCAACTTGAAATTCTGTCGGGACAGCAGGGTATGTGGGAGTTGCACACCCGGGGGGTCATGTAGTCTTGGTGCTGTCGCGACAGAACTTCAGCTGACGACCTTTGGTGGACAAATCTCCATTTGATCCTGTACAATTTGATTTAGTGCGAGGACAAGTACACATTTGTGAAGCATTGACACCCAGTACAGAAGTTGCAATCATTCGTGTGAAGAGCATTGCATAAAAATGATGTCAACTTGAAACTCATATCAGGACAGCAGGCTGTGTGGGAGTTGCACAATCTGGAGTGTTATGTACTCTTGACCGGTACGTTCGAGCCTGGTTTAAATCTGGCTTTGGAAAATTTATTTTCATTGCTATCAGGTTCGGCCTCATTTCCTCTGTGCTGCGCTGATGAGTCCACAAAGGACGAAACAGTTCTGTCCGCAGATTGAAGCACTAGCATTCATTCATTATTCTATTTAGAATATATTTGAAGTATTCTCCAAAGGTATTAAAATGGATACTTATCAAGGGAGTTTCCTGGAAGGGTGGATGGGTATTGCGAAGCCCAAATCCAACCAAAGCAGCAGGAACGGACGGCACATCAACTGACCTGATTGTGATTGGTGGACTTTGAGAGCTTGGCGGTGATGTCGAAGACGTGTTCCACGCCATGCTCATCGCCTACACAGCGCGCATACTCGCGCATCATGTACGCCACCTGCACGGCACAGGGATGTCAGACACAACAAGCAGTAGTAGTAGTCACACACCTACAAATCTGCAGAACATGCCAATATTGAACATGAAATAGGCCTACAGTTGAACATCGATTATCCGACCACCTCTGGGCAGACAACTGTCAGGCGGTGTTCAGATAAGGCAAATGTTCTGGATAAGAAAAAACTGTCACTCGCACACTTTCAGTGGTTATTACTAGCCGCACGACCTTTTTACTTTTCAAAATTTTCGTATTTTTTGAATGGCTCACTACATGCACAGTGCGTACTCTACGGCACGTGCGCCCAAAAAAACTGTTACGGATAATCGAATGGTCGGATAGTCGATGTGCGGATAATCGATGTTCAACTGTACTTAATAGATAATGAAGGAGGATACATTGACACGCAGTAGTAGTACTGTAGTAATAGTAGCATCAACGGGAGTAGCAACGGAAAGAAAACTGCCAAACAAAGTAATAACAATTCCACTTGAAAATACGGGAAGACGTCCGTATCCCAGGGATTTCTCCATCATTTCGGCCTTCTTGGCCTCTGGCTGGAGGATCTGTATTCTGTGAGTGGCCTTATTGTCCAGCGCGGCAGGGTACCAGGGTCCAAATGGCTGGTCAGAGATGGAAAATAGAAGAATGCCAGGCGAACGATGCCAAAGGTGTGGATCACCAGTCTAGACTAACATTTACACTTACAAACTCGCGATACATCCGCGAATACATTTAACTTTCCAATACTTTTTTTTTACATACTCGCTTATCGTGCACCAGTGCTATCGCGATGTGACGTCTTGAGAGACACTTTTAAGACACTAACCTGTTCAATGGCGCGAGAATGGTCGGTGAGTGACATCGTGTCTCCATGACTACGCAGGTGCTTGAGCCGTGCCTGAGCGAGGCGCACGGGGGTGTTGCCGCGACAGTCAACAAGGCTTACATCCGTCCCTGTGGGGGGGGGGGGGGGATAGCAACAACAGCAACAGGCACAGCGACGGAAAGCGTCGGAAAATGCCGGCAGAAGGTACACAGTGGTAACAACTGAAATCCGACCCCAACTCGGTGTGGTCACATTTGGCAACGACCCAGCATGGGATTGTAACACTACGAAATAGAGACCGCCAGAATCGGTGCTGCACCCGAGCACGAAAATCAGTGGTCGGATTTCAGCTGCCACCACTACAGGTGCACACACACACAGTGCTGGCCAGTAAAGTCTGCTCTCTGTGCAGAGAACAGCATCGCTAGATGCTCTAGGCCACATCTACCCCCCCCCCCCCCGAACAAAACAAAAACAACAACTCCTCGGGTTGGGGTGTCGAGGGCTGGGGTGCCATTTCGCAGTCTGCCTTCGCACAATACGGATTTCATGTCGAGGGCAGGGGTGCCATTTCGCAGTCTGCCTTCGCACAATACGGATTTCATGTTATTCCAATCATCAAACCATGACTTGCTGAGATGGGATGCATGTATGTAGACGTATAACACATGAGTGGAACGTCTCCCACCCCACATACACACACACCAACTACCGCTTTGGGCTGTGTGCCCCCCGCAGGATTTCCCTGCGACGTGCCGTGCACTGTGCATTGAAGACTCTTCGCGCAACATGAACAAGATTAAGATTTTCGCTCGACGCTCATGGCATCGCGGAAGTGATGATATCGTGCATTACACTTTAAACCAGGGTCAAGCAAGAGAAGATGTCTCACTTACCTGCAGCCAATAGGATTGTGACAGTGGCTACCTTGCTTGTACATGCAGCTATACAAGCAACACACACGCACGCACGCACACACACACGCACGCACACACACACACATACACGCACACACATACACACACAAAGAGAGCACACAAAGCATTCATAAGTTGAGGGAAAAAGTTGTACACGAGAACACAAAGCATTGACACGACAAGCAAAACACAGTCCCAGAACAAGAGAGCTTGGAAGCTCAGGGCCCTACGCTATGCTTTGACGGCTACAATGCCCAACCATACCACAACGAACTGATCGGCTACATCATTGTTTTGCAAAAAGTTTCCATCTGTTCGAATAACATGCATGATGAGCAACAATTTAGGCCAAAAAGCATAGCGTAGGGCCCTGAGCGAAAGAAATAACTTTCTCTTTGCATTCGAGGATAATACGACACCGTCTACCACCTTGATGACCCAAGCAAAAAAAGCATAGGGATGTTATAAATTTTTCATTTCTCCTATTTTTTTCCAACACATAACCTGGGATTCGAACCCGCACTATCGCCCTGCATGCATTCCCCCAAGAGTACATGAAAACCAGAGTGTGCAGCTTGGGGCCTTTTCTGCTATGGGTGTCTGTCACGGCGAAATTCCGTGATTACATCATTTTGGCGCAGATCTGAGGCGGGAAATGGCGTAGTGCGTACAACTGAGCTGCAGTTGTGCAGAAAGAGACCTGCTTGAATCCTGCTTGTACGCACTACATCACTAAAATGATGTAATCACGGAATTTCGCCGTGACAGCAACCCATCCGAGCTGCACACTCTGGTTTTCATGTACTCTTGATTCCCCCGATACACCTCACATACATATACTCATTCTTCCAAATTGCTTCACGTTATGATCTTGCATTTGAAAGCCCTATTTGAATATTGTGGCCAGCTGTCTTTGATGGTACGGTACGGGACATGTACGGGATAGCGCCAGGCATGCCGACGACACAAACAAGCAAACACGGAATTAAAGCTGTGTGGACCCTGGCTAGCGCCAGACGTTACTGAAGTAACGTCTTTTGCATAGCTACGGGAATAACAAAATATTACGGACCCGCGTACCGGGCCGGTCAAGAACCACCTTTCTGCTTCCGTGGAACGTCACCACCATGATGCAGGTAGTAAACGTGGGGGGGGGGGGGGGGGAAGATAGAAGCGATCCTAATAAGCCTTATGCACGCTGTACAAATGCACGGAATTCCGTAGAATCTCGTAGAGTCCCGTAGACCCGTTGGGTGTTGAACGTGCAGAGCCCTATTGTGTTTACTGCTATTTCCACTAAGAGATGGACCCTGAAGGCATTTCATACGAAACCCTTCTTCCGACAAAGATCCAGCTAGTCATCCGTTCTATCCAAAGTGATGCAGCTGGAAAAGCGATTGTTTGCCATTGATAAATGAGGCTAAATTGGTCAAGTGTGCAAGTATAGCACACAATGAACACCCAACCAAGTATAGCACACAATGAACACCCAACCATGTATAGCACACAATGAACACCCAACCATGTATAGCACACAATGAACACCCAACCATGTATAGCACACAATGAACACCCAACCATGTATAGCACACAATGAACACCCAACCAGGTATGTACATGTACACACCAACGGCCCTAATTGTTTTTTTTATATTTCGAGAAACCACGAACCTCGAGAACAGAGTACTGCATATACAGCCCATCGTACATCTGTACAACATGCATAAGGACTATTGTGCCTAGCAAGCTAAGGCTCACCGAGATGCAGTGGCGTGTTGCCCACATTGTCCTGGAGGCTTGGATTGGCCCCATGGTCCAGCAACAGGCGCACTGCAAATACATACAGGATAGAGAGAGGGAGAGAGAGAGAGAGAGAGAGAGAGAGAGAGAGAGAGGGAGAGAGAGAGAGAGGGGGAGAAAACAGAGACACTTCAGCTATCCGGAACATTGCACATTATCGGACACATACTACATTCAGGCAACCCTGTTTGTGGGTGCGATCAGATGGCAGGGAACTTGCAGGCACAGGGAAAAAAAAGGCGGTGCAAATCACCAAATTCACGCACGCACACACATGCAAACATGCAAGCACACGGACAGACACTTACCCATTTGGTTATTTCCTGCAGCCGCGGCTACATGCAGCGGAGTGCGCCCACACTTGTCTTGGTGCGACGCGTCGAAACCAAGGTCATCATCTGTCAGCATGTTCTTGACTAGAATGTGTAGTGTGTAGTAGCACATACCAAAATCATAAAACAAGGCATTTCAATACTGTAAACCATGTTATTTTCGGCCTTAAACTTCAATTTCGTTCATTTTGGTTGATAAATCAGGCAAATCAGGCACCTAAATTTAAATCACACATAAAAGGCACTAGAGCATGCACTGTAGGTGAAGGGAAAGCTGGTCACCTAATTCTACACTATGTTTACAGTAAGCAGACCGGCATTGTCAGGGTCTCAGGAGTGTGAAAGTAAAGTTAGGCTGATCCGCAGCTGCATCACCTGACGTGTTGAGGTACACATCAAGCAAAGACATTCGGATCGGCGCGCCACCACCCATAAAATTATAATTATCTTAGTGTCGAATGCAGACCCCACAAGTGAGTCAGGGGAGAGGGGATACGTCTCTCAAACAAGCGGGCATATAACCGCCCTAGAACCCCATAGAACGCATCCGTGCTACCCTCACCCCGAGCACACGGGTAGCTATGGGCAAGTCACATACACACGTACATGTACTCAGATAAGAGAGCAACAACACACGTGCACACACACACACCAGGGGCATCACACACGGTACCACTTTTCGTCCAAGATGGTCCGTCCAATTCATCCGAAAAAGCAATAACAGAGCCCTAAAACGTGCCCTGTAGGCAAAGCCCGAACAAATTTCCCGGGGGGGGGGGGGGGGCAGCAACCCAACCCCTGGTCGTACCACTCCCCACTGCCCTGCTATGCCCCTCCACACACACACACACACACACACACCATGTATACGACCGTCGCAAGAGAAGCACACAAATCTGCAAATGCACTGGATGTGCACCCACAGATTTTCTCTTTATAGCAACGATAGCGGATCTGATTCTGATTGAAACAGATCAAGACAAGCGCCAGATAACTGTCTAATCCACACAACTCACACACACCAGCGCAGACATGGAATCACGGACACCATCAAGCCCACCAATCACCAGTCAGCCCACATCACCCATCAGCCATATTCGGACAAGCAGACGGGGGAGGGGGGGGGGGGGGGGGGGGTAGAACACACGTCCTGATACTCTAAACACATAACAGTATAACTCTCCCTCCAGAAATGGCACTACAACTGTACATGTAGATGTGTTAGTGCCATAATTCCATACTCGGCATATCAAGGAATGTTGTGCCACTGCCATTCACGGTGCATGGAAGAGCATAAAAAGAACTGAACAATCATGCTGTTGAGTACCGGTATGGTGTGAGTAGTGGACTGACATGTGCATGTACTGTACACTGTGTACAAGCTGCAGGCTAACTGACTAACCTTGGTCTAGGTCACCGCCATTAACGGCCTGGAACAGCTTGTGCTCTGGAGCAGCAAGGCAACAGAACACACACACTCATACTCATCATACGCATGCCCATCGTTGAAGTGATGATAGCGAACAAGCTAGGTCAGGCATAGCAGCTTGTGCTGGGATTACACCATTCAACAGCATGAAAGGCTGATGAATTGACCGCCACTAATTTTCGCCTGGTCTACACCGCACAACTGGTTGAAGTGGCTTTTTCTGGCCAATGAATCCCTAATTTTCATTTTGTTTTGAACACACACACACATATATTCGTAGTTTCGCGTATTAAACCGCGTATTAGCCGATGTCAGTGCTAGGTTTCCATTCAATCCAGGCATTTCTATGTATGTCAACACTAAAACCAGGCTTATGTGCCGACAGTGTATCTTGAAAATCAGGCTTTCATAAAAAAAGAAGAAGGCATCTAGCATATGAAGCAGGCTTTAATACAAGACACTACGGTACGCACGCACGGTCGCTCTACCTACTGCATGGGGTGGCAAGCCAAATCCGACCCCCAGGTGCGGTGGTCAGCTCACACTGCATCAACGCAGCATGTAACCACACCAACCCTTAAAGCATGCACAGCGCGCATGCATGCATATCTACAACTGCTGTTCTGTACAGGCGCGTAACGTTGGAAGTGATTCGGCGGGAGGGCGTTCCCTGGAATTTTTTTAAAAATAGGGTGCAAATTCCTGCATTGTGGGCACTTTTGGCGTTGTGTTAAAAAAGTGGTCTGGCCAAAGCCGGACCGACTGCTACACCCCTGCTGTGCACATACCGTATCTTGCAGTTACACACACCAACATCACTAACACGTGCAATCGGCAGGTTTACAGTACACATCGGTGCACGTGCACACGCACGCAAGACCAGGCAGTGGATGCGACAAGAATGGTCTTCACGCATTGCTGGCATGTGCACACAACTCCACAGGATTGGTGTTAGCTCCGCAGCATCCGTACGTAGAAAATTCCAGGCGTTGGATTTCAGTTGCCAACACTGTACTACACGTTCACCCCCAACTTCTAACTTGCCCCCCCCCCCCCTCCCCCCAACACACGAACAACCACCCATGCACATGCCCAATTACCGTAATGTCGCGCCTAAAAGCAGGTGCTTACGGCCGTATAGGCCAATGTCAGTGCTATGCTTCTATTCAAGTCAGGTTACTATTCAAACCATGTATCTCTATGTATGTCAACACTAAACCAGGCTTATGCGCTGACAGTGTATCTGTATTCAAAACAGGCTTTTATACAAGACACGACAGTATTGATTGGATGCTTTTCGGCATTCGGCATTTAATACTGATATTTCATGTTACAACATTTCGCAACCGCCAACTCCTGAAATGACTTGAAACCTACACTAGGACGACCTGGCATTGTTCACTAGAGCCTCGCGAGCTTGAGCGGCATTCCACTCTCTAGCAGAACCGGTGGAAGCAGTTTTTGATTGGGCCGGCCAAACCATAGGCTTCCATCATGGGACAGATGCATCCATTTCCCGGTGTTAGGTTTTGCGGCGCGGGGCCAAGTCCACTACAACCGTACACACTGTCATACTACCAGCTCTGCATAGAAGGTCATGAACTTTGTACACTCAATCATACTCATAAATGTACTATAACAGGTTGTACCTGCCAAAATGGGGCAACTTGCCCCGCAAAAAGATGATGGCCGTCTTTGATGCATACCTCCCATTTGTGTAAGATATAGTGGATACGCATGACCTCCTCACCAGTAAACGCACATTGGTAGCCAAACAGTTGGTCCGGCCGTGGCGTGACCGACCCAGACGGGTTCCGCCGCCCTTGTCTAGGATAGCATAACAACAGGGGAGCAGTCCCTCTTCGCAGCACGCGTTGGTGTTCTCTGTCTGTCTCTGTTTCTCTATCTCTGTGCGTGTCTCTGTCTCTCTATCTCTGTGTGTGTCAATGTTTCTCTATCTCTCTCTGTGAATGTGTCTCTCTGATCGCATCCGCAGCACTTGGTATCATAGAGACACAAACACAGGTACTAACGGCCAGTAGTACATCTTGCCACACTCCCTTCTATCGCCTGCCACGTTCGTGCAAAACAAAAGCACACTGCCAGGCTGTGATTACATAGTAGATTCCCTAAGGATGTGTTAGGCAGTTTACATACTACAGTTGAACTCACAAGGAGTAAAAACTGGGTGTGGGTCCCTTTCAAGCAAATCTAATAAATCGTAGCAATAATTCTCAAATCAGATCAGTAGTTAACACTACAGCTGTCTGCTCCCTGGGTCTGTTACAGGTCATGCCAAGGCACAAGGTAAACGGCGACAGATAAGCTTCTGCATGGGTTGTCAGTGTTGCACCTGTGCCGGCTGCCCATTACACTCCAGAGTCCTTCAGGACCCTGGGCCCAGTTACTACCAGATAAGATAGAGTATATTGTTTAGCTTTGTTGTACTTCACCGTATGCACAGGCAATGTCTGCCTTCTCACTGGCCTGGTCCCATCACCACAGTTCTCGCAAATGATGAGGAGCTGCCAGTTGAGTAGTACTGCCTGATCTCTATCACTGAGTGTCATCATAAGAGCACACTTCTACTATTGCCATGATCATTTTTAAATTTTAGTACAGGCAGATGTACGTGCAGTTGATTGCAGACAACCAGGCCTTGTTACTAGTAGATCACAGCATGATATCACCACTCATCTCTACTACTAGTATATAAAAGTAGGGCGAAGTGAGGGCTAGCCGCAAATCCGAGATAATGGTCCTTATTCACAATTACGTCATCGGCTCGCGCCGGGGGTATACTTGAGATTTCGTGGTGAGAAAGACTTCACTTCTTCCAAAATTTTCGTCTTGGACATCAGACAGTTGTGGTTGTTTTTATTTCGAGAGTTAGCCCTCACGTCGAGTTCCAGGCAGTGCCTGTCGTGGAGTATCACCGACTGGTCCGTCAGCTATGAGTGCCAAGAAAGTTTCGTCTTTAGCCGACTTGAGAGTGCCTGAGCTGAAGAGGCTACTCCGTGAACATGGCTTACCCCTTTCCGGAAAGAAGGACGAACTGATTGGGAGGTAAGCTTTCTTCGTTTCACTTCTTACTCAGTAGTGTGTTGCCGAAAATTACTAAACTCTCCCAGGCGTCTGTTTTTTCGTTATTGGCCCGCGTGCAAAGAATGGAGCTGAACTAAAAATATTTTTCAAAAACCAGTAGACTTGTGTAGCATGGCTACTTTATAACACGTTATTTGTATACACATAAATAGTACACCGTAGGAATGCTTGGATAGCTCTGCGCACACTCGCACGGCCTTGTCTTCTTCTTCTCCTTGTGAGACAATGAACGAATGATAACTACTTACGTAACTACAAGTATGTGCTTTGAGTGCTGAGAGTATACGAGTTACAATGGTGGCAGCGGTGGGATTCGAACCCACGCCTCCGAAGAGACTGGAGGGGGGATTACACTTGGACTACGTTTGGTGTGGGCATGGACGAAGCCATAGCCATGACCATGTGCATGGCAGCATTGCGACTCTGCTGAGAGTTGCTATAATGGGATCTGCTTTCAACTCAGTGTGCAACAGCATCCATAGTCATTTTACCTGTATTATGTTCTTGTCATTTTACTTTTGTTTTGTGACACCGTACCCATGAAACGAGACAATATTCCTTGCTGAGCCTAAAAACTCCAAATCTTCCTGTGGCTTGTGTTCCTGTGTCAACTGCAGATTAAAGACATTTGCGAAAACTTCAGGCCGTGCTGAAAGTAGCTTTCTATCGCCACCGGTACAAGGCAACGTCAGTAATCCCCCAGCACAGTCACAACCACCGCCTATACCACTATCCACAGAGTCGATAGAAGTGACCCGTACGAAAAGCAAGCTTCCAGTCGACCCGAACTTGTGGAAGCCCTTGGTTGACATTCGGACTGCCTTGCCGATGTTCACCATGGCCAACATGGTGGCTTATTTCATTTATGGTCAGTCCACTGATGGGAGCCGAATGAACTTCAAGGCTGTAAATGAGCATGCCCTGCTTCTATTCAGCAATGGATTGGTGCAGGCCATTAAAGGTGCAGTGGATCCCGAAGAGCAAGGAACAATGTATCTCCGCTGCATTGTGCTGGCAGAAATGAAACAACAAAAAACCTATACCCTATACATGAAGCTGGACAGATATGCAGAGGTCCTGTACGCAGAGTGTGGCTGTCCTGCTGGCCGCCCTCCTCACGCTTCCTGCAAACACCTTGCGGCATTTGCGTATGCTCTTGAGGAGTTTGTGCGGCTGGGGTACCACCGGTCAGCATTGACTTGCACGGAAGAGGCCAGCAAATGGAATGTGCCACGGAGCAAGAAGGTTGAAGTGTGCCTGCTAAAGGATCTGGTGTTTAAAAAGGCTGCGTACAGCAAGAGCAGCGCAACGCCGGTAGCTGCTGCACGGAAGGAACTGGACAAGCCACTTGCCCCACCTCGGCTGCCATCAACTGCCTTGCTGACTTTCGCCAAGAACGTAAACGAACTTAGTACCCGCGGCGTGGCAATGGCTTTCACCCACGTTCTGCCGTCCGAGTCAACGCTGGTTGCAAGGGTGGAACGCATTGCACGGGCGAAAGAACAGCAGCAGGCGTGTCGTGAGTTGCGGGCTGAAGGCACAGATAAGGCTTCTAAGGGTGCATCCTGTGAACCTAGTCCTAGTGGTGAACCTAGTCTCAGTGGTGAACATAGTCCAAGTGGTGAACCTGACACGCAACTTACCCGAGAGGAAGTGAATCCGCAGTCGCTCATGGATGTGACTGGGAATGCTAGTGACAACAGACAAGTGCAAGAGTACCCCCTGCCTTGGGGTGGCTCTCACCGGACAGAAGATGGCAAACAGTTCTATTTTAGCAATACGTGCCCACTGGACAATGGCTTGATGTTTTGTTTTACTCTCCTCAGCAGCAATGACATATATATTCATGAATTTAGAGACGCAGCTAAAAGTGGGAACCGCGCAGCTCATGCCCTGCTGGATATGTGTGGGTTCATTGACATTGGCGAACCAGGCGCAGCGAAGTACATCTGGTGGCACGCCCTTGAACTTCTAGGCCTTCCCCGAGTACCCTGTGATGGACAGAACATTAATTTCTATGGTTCAGAAGCAGATCGGTTTGTTATAGCGTTTAATCAATCGTTTTGTCTTCCGTCAGTATCCTACGAATGTGACACGTGCAATGTGAAGAAAGATGTCGTCACTCCAGAAATCTTTATCTCTGCAGATGGAGACCTATCTCACCTGCCTGGGCCGGACCAGGTAAAGGTGATGTTGAATGCCTGGTTTTTTCCGGGAAGTCAGCCTTGTCGTTGTGGTGGTGTGCGCTCGTATTCTCGACGGAGGTTGCAGGTGCTACGTGGCTCCAGAGTGGGGTGTTCTGTGGCATTCTTTTGCTGCATTTGCCGCGAAATGGTTGGTCGGCACACAATTTATTCTGCTGCAGATTTTCCTTTACAGGTTGAAGTGCCAGGCACTGATTCCGGCCGCCTGACTGCATACCGGTTGCTGGGTGTGACCTATGGAAATGGTCAACATTTTGTGTCTCATATTCATGAAAATGGCACGTTTTATTTCTACGATGGCATGAATGCAGCCACAGGGGGGCGGCCTCAGGCTGTGGTTGGCCCTCCAGTGGCTCCAGCTGGCTATCAGCTTGGCCACATTATGTATGCTGCAGTTGTACCGGCATGAAGAGCATATTTTATGTGAGAATTTTCATGATCTGTCACTCATAATGTCGTAATGAGAATGGATACTTGTTGGGTGTGTACGGCATCACATCTGCTTGGGAGCACGGCTCCAGAGCAGAACATCTTTAGTCACAGAAAAGTGAAGGCCCATTCCAAGTCCGATGTAACAAACAAACACCAAAATATCCTACAATGTACTGCATTAGATGCCTAACGGAGTAAGGTGTGCTGTCCTGAAGGCAACAATACAGGCTACATAAGGAGGCGCACAGATCACAAGTAATGCAATGTCGACAGTATACAAATTCAATGGCAGCAGGGGGGGGGGGGGGGTCTTAGGCTGTTGCTGAGCACCATTCTGTCCCACACGCTACAATAGCTATCACTACCATAGTGACTGTCACTTGAGATACACGAAAGTAACTAGTTGGTCGCAAGCAACCGCGTTATGGAAAGGTTATGTGGAATAGCTGTATGTACACGGAAGTATGTAAATTACGCGATTATGTGCGCGACAGTCCCGGAGGGAGAGACCATTGCAGAATAACTTACATCAATGGTGGATTAAATAGAGTGAGAAGGGCACAGCATGAAAAGATTTCATCTCCAATATCAGCCATACTGATCGGCAGGAAGCGAAGGATGGAATAATTCTTGATCTGCTGAATGGCTCGCTCCACATGAATCCTCAGTGATGCAATGCGTCGTGTTGTAAGTAGATCTTCTTCGGAGAACTGTTGATGGTGGAGAAAGGGTGGGATATTGACACCAACACCATACACAAGTGCGTCGGATGCAATGTCAAACCCTTTGTCGGCCATAATCACATCGCCTTTGTCCAGCAGCTTCAGTAGTTCGCATCTCCTCACCAACTCCTTGTCAGACGTCCGTCCACCATACAGCTGCGACACAAACGACAGAGCACCACCAGGTGTTATTCCTACAAGCGCTTTAACGGTGTTACGTTGCTTGTATTCCGACCATGTGGCAGCTTGAGTGGTGGGGTTCTTTGGCTTTTCTATCGGAATCTCCAACGCATCGATGATAATCCGTGTCCGTGGATACATTTCGCGGAACGACAGTGACATTAGCTCATCCACTTGGGATCTGCTCGGGAAGATCGGGATTTGGCGAAGTGCATTGGCAGTCAACGGAATCCAATGGCGGATGATCCTGGATATTGTTGGTTGGGAGACACCAGTTAGCCGTGCCAGCTCCTCTTCCGGATAATCCTTCCACACCTTCACCATTGCAATAAAAAAGCAGTCTTCCAGTGGAAGGATTGGTGCAGTACCTCTTGCTTGGGTGGCAGAACGGGTGGACAAAACAAGTTTGAACATCTCCTCAAACTGTCCGAATGTTCTGAACCCAGTATACCAGCGAATGTTTTTGTCCGATGTGAACTGCCGTGCCGTAAAACGCTGCCGTTCAAGCTGAGCTTCGAGGATCGTGTTTTGGTCTTTCAATAGCTCTAGCTGTGATTTCAGGTCCAAGATCTCATCCCTCAGCCGCTGATTCTCTTCGACAACGTCCACCTCTCCAGTATCTTCGGTGCTGGCCACTTCTTCCTCATCCACCGTCATACTTTCTTCCTCGGCCTCACTCGCTTTCTTGGAGGTCAGTGTTTGGCGCTCCACCACTGGGATGGTCCAAGCAAATACAGAGGGAACTTCATCGTCATTCTGGCGTTGCAGGGCTGGGAAATGTGCTCCACATACACGCACATCGTTTGTTGCAGTCACAGTCAAATTTTGTTTTCGAACAGCATCTTTCCACGATTTGATTAATTTTCTTTGCCGTTTAGCTAGATGTGGATCAGCGCTTTCGGGCAGGGGTTTGGGGAACTTGGCGAACGGCAACGTCCTGCACACGCTGCAAGCGCCCCTACAGCCGACTCGCTTTGCCGTATTCCCACAAAGACGATACTCTTCCATCGACCATTTGCCAGTGCAGTCCTGAACACGTCGGTACCCTCGCTTGCATTTCTTCGCCCCAGACACGTTCCGACAGCCAGGAACAGTACAGGAGTGCGGCATTGCTAGTTTAGAACGTATGCTGACAGCGGTGAAAACAGAAAACCCCTTAGCTAGTAAGGGATCAAAACAACACACGTTCCAAAACTAAGTCACGTCAAAAGAAAACAAGCAAAGCGGACTTCTTGTTCGTAAAATCTTTCTCCCAGACAATGCAAATGCTGCCTCTGCCAGCTTGATTTTGAACAGTACCCCCGCGCCGGCCGCGCGGTGAAAGGATGACGTAATTGAATAAGGTCTATTATGACATGGGTCTATTCTCTATTGTGCATGACTGTAATTGGGGATATGGAATTAATCCGAATTATGTATAACCGCCGGACTTGGGTTCAGTTCCTGAACACTTCATCCATTGTCCCACACTGCCACAGGCCCTTGAATCGGAATCAACGGAAAGCTTTGCAGACAGCAGCGTCGGGCTGGTCAAGTGCCCTTACTGGCCAAGACAGCTTGGATTCAACCGTTTTGACAATGCATCAATAACACTATTCTGGCACACATTGACACAAACTAAAAGTGGTCACGCTACATGATGTTCGCTGCTATCTGTCCATGCAATGGGCCCAGTCTCTGGGCAGTGACAGATTAGCTGTATGGGATTGTGAGATAAAAATAACGTACCCCACCGCTAGCAACACGCCAACAGCCCCACCTCGACTTGCACAAGACAAAAGCCCATGACGATACAATAACACAAGATTGTAACAATGCTGGATAAAAATCATCTTGGCTGAGTCAGCGATATGTTCAAGTGACAACAGAATGGTCCAGGAGAGAATGAAGAGGACAGTTTCAAGGAATAGTACTAGTTGGGAACTATGAATGCCAACGCTCCTGCCACTCACCTGTTATGTTCCGATGAAAGACGTCGGAACTGCGCTGCGACAGAGGACCAGCTCTCTGCCTACTCCGTCGCTGCTTCACTTTGCCAGCAGCCTCATGCACACCATCAGCTCCAGGCGCGACGTACGTGCTGGGATCAATCAGAGCCATGCTACGAACATCGATGGAAGATCCAGCAAACGAGAACTCCCCGGCTGAGCTCGTGACTGCTGCGCCTTGCGACATCTTCTCCATCATTCAGAATTCTGAATGGCGTTGGTCGAAATCTCAAATTTCTTCCTCGACCATTTTTACCTGCCTCTCTCGGATAGAGTGATCTAGTGGGCAGGCATTATACAACAACGTCAACCAGGTTCACGACGAGGCCATTGCCCATCACATCATCGAATCGACATCAGTAGCTTCGAGCAAGCTGCAAGGCAGACATTCTCCGACATTCTCCAAAAAATTCCTTGTTCAAAGTTTTATTCATGATCCATCAGACGTCTAGACCCTGAAAAAGAGAGTGGAAGTGTTGCTTATTTGCAGCCCCGGGCCGCGGCTGTGTGGTTTGAAAACCAACCGACCCCACTACTACAACACACTAGATTTAGGACAGACTATAGAATGCGAGGGAAAAGCAGATTGCCATTGACAGTCGGTTCGTTTTCAGTGAAATCGTTATCCAGAGCTAATGCGCATGCGTTAGTGCTGAATGATTTCCTGCATTCGGCCGCGATTTAGTCCAAAGCCACTGTGACATAGCGAGTTTTGTAGATAACACATCATTGCATGACCGGTCGGCGGTCGACCCTGCCATGCCGACACGATCGTACGAAGCAAAAAATGTACAAGTCGAGTCATAGATCTACGACTCATACTCAGTCATAGTACAGTGTAGACTATCCGGGTATCCCGTATGCGTAGCAGATCGTACCATTGTACTTTGTCTTTGTAGACTGCGCAATGCAGTGACCCTGCTGGATCAGTGCATGCAGTGATCATGGTGATGCACGCACAGCCTAGCCTTGATCCAGTGGCAGTGGCTGCAGATTGGACTCGCGCACTGGGTCCTTTCCTTGTCGTAGCAAAGATCGTATCGTTGATCTACAGTCAGTGCAGGTACTTCACAGAAAACCGGTGGCGGTGGAGTGCCGCGATCTATGCATAGGTTTGTGTTGTCATGAAGTACTGGTAGTGGAGTTGTTGAAGATTTGGGTTGTTGGTCGTTGTGGAAGTGGAAGGAGTACTTTTCCAGTTAGGCTGCAATAGGAACGCGGAACGGCAAGAACGTGGATAGTAAAACGGGAAATGAGGAGTAGATTGTGGTGATCTGATGGACGGCATGACTCCAAAGGCCTCGACGAGGTCTGAGTCAACCCAAGGCCTGTCAGGTTTGTAAATTTTGTATGTTTCCTGGCGAGCAATTGGTGTGCTGGAAGTTCAACAACGTTCCCGATGATACCACTGTGTATAGATTTCTCCGAAGAGGAGCAAAGTCTTCTGGACGAGATTGGACGTAAGAAGTCGAAGCTTCAGGAGGAGATTCAGGTGCGTTTACGCGGTGGTATCATTTGAGTGTACCTGGCGGCTTCCACTAATTTATTACATTTCAACAATGTATATTGTTGTAGGTGATAATTCAGTCTGGAGTATGAAACGAATACCGAGGGATAGATATTGTGCATGGCTTTGTTTATCGTTGCTTTTGTCTCTGCAGCACATCAAAAATGAGATCGCCGAAGTCACAGCAGAGCTGGAGACCATGGATGGAGTTGTGGATGTGTAAGGAACCAGCAGATGGTGTTCAGTTTGCTGCGAAGCAGTTTGTGTTTGCGCATGCATCTTCGTTTCACCATGCATGGATCGCGCTGCTGCTGCGGACAGGTGTTTTACGGTCGCGCGATGCTGGTTTACCACCACGGACCAGTATTCGAGTCACCAGCACCCTGTTTGACCCAGCGATGGTGGGGGTGCAGTCCAGTTGTGACCCTGCCCAGCAACACACCAATGCACACGCACGTACACACTCACGCACACGGATACACACACACACACACACACACACACACACACACACACACACACACATGCGCGCTCATACACTCAAATAAACAGCGCAGGCTTACGCGTGCGCGCGCACACACACACACGCATGCGCGCTTATACATACAGATAAACAGCGCAGATAAACAGACAGGCAGACAAACGCATTCACGGACCAGGGTAGTGCTTGCGGGAACAAAATGGAGCTATGCGTGGCGTTTGTTGACGGTACTATGCTATCAGCCTCTCTCTCTTGTGGCATAGGCACAGTGAAGGTTGGAAATCACGAATGTGTGATGGAGCTTTTGGATCTGGCTCGAGTGTATTTCAGCCACCCAATACATACGATGGCAGCTGCCGTCTGCATTGGAAATAATCACCGGGAGCACTTGTTGTTGGAATGGCGTGATAATGGATTTTATAGCGAGTCACGGGCCTGTGTTTATGGTGCCACCCAATGCGGCTGCTAGTATGTCAAGCACCTGAAATAACAGTGTAACCTGAATAGCTTCTATAACGGGCACTGTCTGCACGAATGGCGATGGCCGTGAACACAGATATCGGATTCGGTATTTCTCTCCTTAGTTGCAGTACACCGCTTATCTCTCGCCGCATGGCAGTTACGCACACAGCTCAATACTGTATATGCACATCGGGTGCGCTGAGCCCGTCCGTGTTGGATGTGCTACGCACGCATTTGCTTTATGGCCCAATTGTACGCAATGCTGCAATACACATGTACTATGCGCGGGTCAATATACTGGTTGTCCTTGTGCACCAGTACGGCACGTTGGCTGCATCAATGGCGACGGTCCCATAGACCAGGGCAAATGTCCGTACCGTGTGAATATTAATATGCATTGCGTGGCCTTAACTTCATGCTGCCCGCGCATGGAAGTGGACTTTTGCATGTTCCGCAATGTAAACGCATGTGGTACTTCGTGTACGCCCCGCGCGCTTGCCCACACACGTACGTACACACACACCACAGTGACACATGCTCTCTCTTTCTGCACAGTGTTCACCCACACTATCGGGCAAAGGGCGACTACTTTTCATTCTCACATCGTTCCCTTACAGATGGCATGTTCGAAGCCCAGTTCTGATTTACTGAAATGGGTAGTCTTCCTTCTACTTTTTGCGCATGTGTGTGTGTGTGTGTGCAGGTTGATGTGCGCGTGCGTGCACGTGTGTGCATAGTTAAACATGGTAGTAAGCCACACCACACGACTTTGGTTTTGTGTTCATTATTTTTGTATTGTCGTTCGCTGCCTGTGCTGTTCTCGCTCTTGCTCTTTTTCAGGCCAAAGCAGCAGGATCAGAAAACGAAACAGTTAGCGACCGGTCGCAAGCGCTTTAACATGGACCCTCAAAAGGTAAATTATGTCATGATATTTGCCAGTTTTGAAAGCACTCGAATACGTGTGTAGTGGGGTAGGACTATCTCGTCCTTCGTTCATCTGTCCCTGCTTGTGTGCACACCCGTGTTGTTTCATGTATCGCTCTCTATCTCTCTCTCTCTCTCTCTCTCTCTCTCTCTCTCTCTCTAGCTCTCTCTCTCTCTAGCTCTCTCTCTCTCTCTCCTCGTTTAGTCCTTCCGCTAACATATAGCTCTCTGAACACACCCCATGTTGCGCTTTGTGCGTGTGTTGCACCTGCTCAGGGCCTCAATTTCTTGTACATGCATGGACTGCTGAACGAGACACCGGAAGACGTCGCAGGATTCCTGTACCGCGGCGAGGGTCTCAGCAAGAAGATGATTGGAGAATACTTAGGGAAATTGTAAGTGCGTCATTAAACTCGCCTGTGCTCTGAGCCGGACTTTAGGATTGATCACTCTGCGGTGTTAGCTACACTCATACCTCGCTTATCCGGACCTCAAAGTCTTGGGCACTTCGGTCGACCTGGCACCCATTGGGCGTGTTTCAGTGGAAATATTACTACTCTTTTGTCACTTTCTGTGGAAAATAGTGCCGCCACATGCCATGTCTATGGCCTATCCCCATCACAATGTGTGTGATAGGGAGTTACGGGTAGTGCCCAGTCCCGGGTCGCCCGGATAAACGACGTATGAGTGTATAGGTAAGTTGCAGAAAGTATTAGTTGCTGTTTCATCGTAGTACCAAAAACTGGTGGTGTTGGTTCTCTGAAGTTTTACCATGCATTGCCTTTGTTGGGAATGAGGAAGTCAGTGCGTGCTTGTGGTAGTGAGTCTGATTTCTTTCTTTCTTGTCGGGCACTCCTGGTTACATTGCTGATATTTTCCTACCGTTGTTGTTGCTTCCGTCCCTCGTATTCTGTTATGACGGTGCTGCGGTGTTCTGCTGTTGTCTGGTGCTGCTTTCTTTCCTTCACAGAAAAGATTTCAATGTAACGTGCCTGAAGGAATTTGTGAAGCTACACGACTTTACCAACATGAGCCTGGTCAGCTCGCTGCGACAGTTCCTGTGGAACTTTCGGCTGCCGGGCGAAGCGCAGCAGATTGACCGGATGATGGAGGCGTTTGCAAAGCACTACTGCCAGCACGGCAACGGTGGCGTGTTTGCCAACCCGGACACGTGCTACGTCATGTCCTTCTCCATTATCATGCTCAACACGAGTCTACATAACGTTAACGTCAAAACCAAGGTAAGTTCTGGCCGCCCTTTGTGCTGCTGCTTCTTCTTCTTGTGCGTTTTCTTTCTGTGTTGCTTTGGTCATGTTGTTGTGGCAGTTATATTCATCACACACTCTCTCTCTCTCTCTCTCTCTCTCTCCTACATTCTGTCTTTCACTTGCAGATGACCATAGAGGGGTTCATTTCGCAAAATCGTGGTATCAACGACGGCGACGATTTACCTGAGGAATTGCTGCGGGTTAGTGCCATATATGCTCAAGTGCGACACTACTTTTGTTCATGTGCAATGAAGTCTCCTCAAGCCGATCACTCAAATTAATTTTGAAGTTTGGCTGTACTGCTATTGTATGCTGCAGTGATTCTATACCGTAACTTGCCGCATGCCCACTATGCTGTGCACCCGTTGGCCATTGTCAAAGTCGGGTGATCGAGCCATTTACTTGGTTTGTGCCATAATATTATGATATTGCAGCCTGAATCTTTCCTTATCTGCTCCATTTCACGATCACGCCGTCCATTAGCTTTGAGTGGTCAGTATGTCTCCAAATATTTCACATGATTGTCCAGGCAGTCAAATATTGCGCACTGGCGACCCAGGAGTTTTCCAAAGTGTCCTGATCAACTTCTCTCAACTCTTGTTCCGATGTTTGTTTACTTTGATTAATGTTTCAGGCATTCTACGAGGACATCAAGAAAGATGAATTCAAGATTCCCGAGGACGAGGGAGGCAGTGATCTCACACATACTTTCTTCAACCCGGACCGGGAAGGCTGGCTAACTAAAGAAGGTAAGATTCCCACTTGTGGCTAAATCAGAGAGGATGGAGAGAGAGAGAGACACGCGCGCGCGCACACACACGCACACAGACCCAGAGACTGTGCAACTCCAGTGTGTGACTGTGGGGTCTGCTGACGACAAAAGCTCACATCACATGGTGTAGTGTTCGCGGTGTACGTTTACAGCTCGTTTTTAGCGACTAGTGGAGTAGAAAAATAGCACTATCTGACATAAACCCACTCAGCTATGCATGATCATAGCAGATGTTCGGACTGTGCTCACATGCTGGTATCTCTGTCTGTCTCTATTTCTCCCTCTCTCTCTATTTTTCTCTCCGTCTTTCCATATGTAATGTGCATTGTGTTTATCGTTCTTCTTTGCTCGCCTCTTTGGTGACTTGTGTCTGTTGTGTCTGCTATTTGGTATATGTAGGTGGCAAGCGGAAGACATGGAGAAGACGGTGGTTTATTCTCACAGAAAACTGCTTATTCTACTTCAAGCTGCCCTCGGTTAGTGCTGCGTCTTTCTGTCTGGCTGGGAGGCTAGTCTGTTTGTGTGTGTGTGTGTGTGCAGGGATGAATTTACTGTCATATTTTGCATAGCAGTTTCTGCTATACGAAATCACAATTGTGTAGCAGTCTTTGGTTTTGATTAGCAAGTTCCTCTGAAGGTTGGGTGTTTACCACATTGGCCTTCTTGAGAGTGATGCCTGAAAGTCCATTTGCAAAAAACGATTGAAGCATACATATGCACGCAGATTCAGAGTACCGGCACCACATGCACTGCACAGTATGCATGTTACTTGATAGCGCAAGCCAGGCATGGATAGTCTGTATGTATCGCACTTTTCTGCGAGTCACGGTGACTTTTGAGCAGCAGTAGATCGATTTTGCATCGCAAACTGCGATGCGATACAGGATAAATTCATCCCTGGTGTGTGTGTGTGTGCCAGAGATGAGGTCTATGCTTTCCCGATGCATCACTGTTGGTTGCAGTTTCATGTTGAGGGGGGGGGGGGGGGGTAGCCTTGGGTTTAGATTATACAGTGAAACCTGTCTAAGGCAACCGCTTAAGGGGCCTTCAAATGTCATCGCTTCGCACAGGTGGTCTCCTTGTAAAGGGTTATTTGAGTGGAAATAACATCACTTTGTCCTGGTTTTAGTGGTCCTCCGGGACTGGTGGTCGCTTTGACAGGTTTTTACTCTACATGCATCCTTGACCTTGGGTTCACTGGGCAGGTTTATGCTTGTACTAATGTCTTCCACGGCGTGTGTGTGCTGTACATGTTTGCTTGTTTATCGCATTCAGGACAAGGAGCCGCGGGGTATTATTCCGCTGGAGAATCTTGGCGTACGTGAACTGGCTGACAACAAGCGACCGCAATGCTTTGAGATCTTCTCCGACGCCAGCAGCGCTATCAAGGCCTGCAAGACCGACTCGGAGGGCAAAGTCGTGGAAGGTATGTTAACAACAATTGTTTTTTTATGTTCCTTCACTGCATTTATTACTACAGTCCTTCTACAAAAAAAACAAGAAAAATGGGCAGCTTGCTATGCTGGGCGATGGGCATCGTACGCATTCATGTACATTGGCGACTTACGTTTTTGGCTGACACCCCCCCCCCTCCCTTCCAAAAAAAAGTGAACAATGTTCAATTCAGGAACGAGCAAAAAAACTTTTGCGACGACCCCATAGTTCTGAAAACGAGTCAACGGGTGAATTATGTAATAACTTCCTAGTGCTAGCTGAAATTGAATGCCTGTTCTTGTTTGTATTTTAGCACATTATGCTTTTGTGCGTGGAAGTATGGTAGTGCTGCGTATGGACAGGTACCCCGAGGGCTGAAGTTGTAGAATGACACCGACAGGGCTCTGGGAGTATGAATGTATGTATTACCAATATCCATATTGGTCGTAACTGACTCGTAAGGCCATTGAATTGTCATTGGCAATAAGCCCATTGGCATTGCGCATTGCCAAATATGGATTGCATGAGTAATGCATGTGAGTACATTGCCAAATATGGATTGCATGAGTAATGCATGTGAGTACATTGCCAAATATGGATTGCATGAGTAATGCATGTGTGTACGTTGAGATCAGCAATGCACTGTTCAACACCCCAGCTAGACGACCATGGCCAGGTGGCTGTGTGGGTGTTGGCTGTACAAATTACGTCATCGCGCAATGGGCTTATAGAAGAAGCTACGTTCACTCATAAACAAGCTGGGAGTACAGCTATGAATTTTAAAAATAATTCACTGTTGCCATGGTAATGGGGCTTATGCATAGTACTTCCGCCATTTGATTTTGGGGGGCAAGTCCTCTATAAAAAGGGTACACAATGTGATACCAATCCTACATCAACAGCCATGAACTGTGTACGATCATACCCACAAATGTACTACAACTGGCTGTACCTGCCAAATATGGGACAAGTTGCCCCTCAGGAAGGTGGCGGTCATGTTTTATGCATATTATAAAACCCCACTAGCATCACTGGCCTATAGCGAAGGTCCCTGGCTCTCGAGTCCTGGCGGTGATAGGCATTTTTTCTTCAGATATTTCCAATATCTACTCGCTCAACTGATGAATATTGCTATGTTTATAGAAACTGACCAGTCAAGATCACTTTGTGCGTGTGTGTGTGGCTTGTGTGTTGTGTGTGCATGTGTGTGTGGGGGGGGGGGGGGGGTGAATGTGTGTGTGTGTGTGTGTGAATGTGCGATCTGATTTGCTCAGGCCACCATAACGTGTACAGAATACAAGCGGCCACTGCCGAAGAGAAAGACGAGTGGATCAAGTGCATCCGCGCCAGCATCAGCCGCGACCCGTTCTACGAGATGCTGCAGACGCGCAAGAAGAAGGCAACACACCAGCAAGAGGTTGGTGTATAGTCCGTGTGCCCGGGCCGCTGAGCTTCGAATCCCACCACCCCCGTGCGCACAGTCTGGCCGCGTAGCCATGGCGTTGGTGCTGCCGTGCAAGTGCCCGGTCGCCATCGCTTATCTGCACGGACTGGCCAGTCCTCTCTCAGCCCGCATGTTAGCCGAGTGGCTACAGTTTGTGTGTAGCCGACACATCTATCCCATCTCCTTGGCGAGACAATGCTAGTGATAAAAGCTGTTGATTGTACATGTGTTTGTACATGCATGCGTTCGTTTCGGACAGTGACTCAATCGTCATCATCATCATCATCCGTACCATCATCATCCTCATCAATCAATCATTAATCAAATTTGCTACTATTACGTGACCGCCCATCCTCCCCTCCCCGCGTTCCTCTGTACATAGCACGGGAGTCTGTTGACGGACCTCCCCCACCCTGCCCCCACCCCTCCTGAGCAATTTGAAAAGATTTTCCACGCGTCCCGAACCTATCCTCCCTTTCCTCGCCGGGTGGGCATGTCGAGACTGCTGTCGCGCCTCTCCCCTTCCCTGCGCTGCCGCCCGCTCACCGCACACACTCTGGCTCGCGTACATCCGATCGGGCCGGGCCGAGCCAAGCGGTGTGTGTGGACCCATGTGATGTCTGGATGGTTTTTCTGCTCTTGGACACTCAGTGCAGCAGCAGCCCGAACTGATTGTGTCCCATTGGCCAGTCCATGTTGCTGCTGCTGTCAATGCTAGTGTCATGCAATGCTAGTTACCAATGCCTTTCCTACTAGTTTTGTATGTCACAGTTTATTGAAAGAGATTTCTTATATCAATTTTCCTTTTTTTTGTTTTGTTTTCTATCAGCGAGGCGTAATCCTCTACAATAATTATTACCGTTTCTCTTGTTTCGGCGTTCTGGCCACCATCCCTCCTTTCCCAACCTGCTTCGTTCCTTTGCTTCTGTACGTGGGCGTGTGTGCGTAAGATGTGTGTATAGTATATTCTCACTAGTTTAGCAGTGCACTGGTGTGTAGTGCAATGTAATCAAACCTGTTCCTTAACTATAGCATACCCTTCCTTCTATTTCTCCGAGCGTATGCCTCTGCCCTCACCTCCCCCCTCCCTCTTTTTTCGTTCTCTCTCTGCCTTTCATCTCCTCACTGGTGTGCTGACAGCATTGAGTGGTTTTACCGGCTCCTTGGCGACTTTTTTTTATCGTCGGGTACTGTCGTCCGTCACTGCGGGGTCTATTGTTCGGTTTCCGCGCATTGGTGGCGGTAACATCCACGTGTTGCCCTTGTCCTCTCTGTAGTCCCAATCCTCATCCTGTTGTGCCACGTAGCCTGGACGCGCCTGCACACACAGTTACCATGTGCACATGGCTTGGTATTATAAAGACTATTCCTCAGTGCACTGATTCGTTGCGTTCTTCTTGTTCTCCCCTTATAGTTTTTTGTTGTTGTTGTTGGCCTGTTTTCTTTTGGGTTGTACCGAACGGCGTGTGAATCGACAGTTTGAAACGGTGAAGGGCCCGCACGCTGATACATGGTGTGTGCGTAGTCGTGTGCGTCACTGTGTGTGTGTGTGTGTGTGTACGCACACGTGTGTGTCTGTGCAAGCATCATCGTGCGTCTGGGCACCCCGCTGTGCATTTGTGATAGAAGCATGTTGACTTAGCATTTCGACTAGACCAGCAGATCTCTGCAGATGGTCATACTGTCTACACGGTTCGCGTGAGGCCTGGTCTACATGTACATAAAGTATCAAGAGTGCATATTGAACCTACAATAGGGGTATGCTCGTACTCTTCACTGCACCACGCGGACGGATATGAACCGAATGCTGATTTTTGTAACTTTGTTGGAGTTTTTGGAGAGGAAAATGTGTTACGCTATCGCGGCTCTGCATCTGAGATCCAATGCTGCTTGTACAACCTAAAAACTGTAAAAAGAAAGACGTGCACCAGTCCGTGCGCCAGATTCAAAAAAGTCGTCTAAAAGTTGACTTTTTCATTTTCCGCACTGGGCAGTTTGCGGGTACTTTTTGAGTCGCATTCTCAATGGGGGACAATTTTGGAAAATGGTTTTGTGTCTATGGCTCGTTTGTTTTGGCATTTCGCTACCTGTGTGGTGAGCCTAAAAATTGCGCTTAGCCGTGGCAACGCAATGGTGTATTCCGTTTTTCAGCCAGATGACTTGTTTCGCTGTGGTCCGGCATCTTCCTAGATTCTCAGCCGTCGTCGAATTTGAGTATTTTCGAAACATTTTTTAGGGTGCAGGCGTGGGGCAAGGCTTTCACTCCCAGCCAATGGCACCATTTGGCATAACTCAGCCCTATGAACACGTCACCAGGCCCTCGTTAGTGTCCAGCCCATATTTCCAAAAAATGGACTGGACTTGAAACTTGAGTGTACAGACAGTACTATGCATTATGCACGTAATGACCGTATGCAATAACTTTCGCAAGCTACACGACAAGGACTCGCTGCAGAATAACATAATGATATTCACACCATATGCCATTGTGGTGCACCGTGATACCAATGACAGTATATTTATCGGTGATCAATTGCCTACTGGGTCGCTCCGTTGCCGAGAACGTCAACTTTGCGGACTGTGGAATGACCCGCGACACCGCCAACCACCCCTGACACAAAGCCAAATGCTGAAAGAGCTGACTGATACGGTACCTAGCAAGTTAACTGGATAATGCTCATCTTCAACAAAACCAGGACATAAAACAGTGCTATGATAAACTACCTCCAGTCACCGGAAACAAATACAGTGCATTACGCATATGGATAGAGATTGCACGTAGTACATGTATAATTGTATACCAATCTTAGAGAAACCAAACAAGTTATCGGGTCTATACCATCAGAGTTGGCAGCTATATGTATTGGATTCTCCTGGTGTGCAGAATGATGCTGGCGGCGTGGTTCATATCCACTGTTGGCTTGCTGTCGGCAGTACCTTCACTATCTCACGTCTAAGGCATTTTATAGTCTGCATGACTTGGATCAGAACGCCATAGTTATCCACACGAGAATGGTAATAAATCCAGATCACTAAGGCCTTCTTCATTGCAGTTGGCGCAATACGTTCACGGGATCGCGTCTCCGACCTCCAAATTGTAATTATAGCTGGCTAGTCTGTTGTTTGTTGGCAGACAAGAATTGCGATGCTTCTTCAAAAGAGGCAGTTTAGCGATGTCTGTCCATGACATATTCCGCATTGCTGTGTGTGGAAGGAAAGGTGCAACAATATTAGATTGCTGCTGGCCATAGACATCAAACTGCAACATCTGGGCTTCAGCTGTCACAGGTCCATTGACAGAGAGACTGCCGCATATTGCACATACTGCAAACTATTGACTTCATGCCATCGCCTCATGGATCAGAAGTCACCACACTGAAAGAAGAACAGCAGAGGAAAACAGAACTGATGCAGTTAATCGATGCAGTTAATTGGCAGCAACAAATTTACTCCTTCATTTCATTCGACGAATTTGAGTCGTGTAATGCAAGAAAAAAGTCAGAGAGCAGGATCTAGGAGAGGGCATGCACCAGTGCTGTTGTGCCTATAATAATTATATGCTCAGAATTTCACCACAATAATGCACATAATACTGACATATTTACACTATGCAACCTAGTAGTCAACAAATTCAGAAAAAAATCTAGTACTTCAGCTGGTGAAATATCCCACCTCTATCCCCTAAGCTCAAATGTCCCTGTAAAATTGATAAAGGATTGGTAGATGCTCACTCGGAGTGGTGTTTGAAAAGTAACACAACAGGTCATGACGATTTAGAGCATGCTCAATTGTCTCTTCTCATAAAATCACAATATTGCCTGTGCGTGGTTTATTTCGGGTGCAATTGTGGGGCACATAGGTATCACTCTAATTTCTCGTGCATTCGAAAGATAAAGCTTTGGTCTATCACCCCACAAAGCGGCTTTAGTGTCCGCGATGGGTAAATGCCTTACCTGGTGTGAAATTGGTGACCATATTCCTCGTTTCAGCAATTACAAAAATGAGACATTCGTCCTTGGTGGCTGCTCACGAACTGCAAGCTCCAAAATAATTTTCCAGGGTACGGCCATAGGTGTCTACATCACTCCGAGCCATCTCTCCAGTGTAGGAAAGGTCTCCTGACGAGACTAGAAGGGCTCTAAGCAGCAAATTTCATTGAAATATTCACCATTCGGAGATAGGCGAAATCAACAGAAAACAAGCCCGCAGGTGCGGCGCCTTGGAGGCTACGATTCCCGCGAGAAAATGAAAATCGGTCTCTCAAGGGCCTTGGCGCACGGACTGGCACGAGGTGATCACTCTGTATGCCATGCATACGCTATGCATAAATGCAGCTGATCAACCACATCGTCATCAGGCACGCTGCACTGGCAGTCAAAACGAGCCTGGCCATGTGGCGATCTGGCATTCTGCAGTTCTGGGTGGTGAATGCATGCAGTTGGAGTGGGGACGCTGGGGCATGCTGCCGTATGTGTAGCAATATCCTGGACCTGGGTTCAAGTGAGGTCGCCTTTGTAGCTTGTGAATTCCTCACATCTCGTTTTTACGGTTTCTTGCAATAAACTTACTTGTCCACCTGATCTACTTTCAGCACGAACTCGTTGTTCTTCAAACGTGGTGAGGAAACTGTACACCGCGAGTGGCGCTGGCCATCATCACGCCGACGTCTACGTCTGTGGTACAAAGTACTTCATTTAGTATTTTTGAAACTATTCGTTCACGTGTGTGTTTCCTGGTCGCAGTGGTGTGTTTGTGCGAGACATCGGCGTTTCGTGGGAGAAAACAAAAAAAAGGGGAGAGAGCGTGTAGAGGTGGAGTTGTCTGTCCCGCGAGGACATGGGTGCGGCCGCTTCCAGCTCTCGCGGGGACAGCGATGAGGAGGATCTGGACACACAGGAGGTACGATTTCTGCACAGTATTTCCTTGAGAATATTTAGCCAGTACTAGAATTAAAATAATTATAAAATTCGTTCACTGTTGAGTGTTGTGGCTGAGCAGTGCGGCAAGCAGCATACATCGTCAGTTTCTAGGTGTTGTCTGAGCATTTCACGTATATCTGTCACGTAGAATTATGATATTATTATCGTTGAGTTTTTGATAAACCACACCCTCTTTTTAGGCCACACGTTTTTATTTCTATGCTTCTCGTCACCCGAAAATTTAAAGTCGTATGTGAGAGGTGGAAAAATAAAAAAATGATTGGAAAAAATACTAGATCTTTGGTCTTACTATTAATCGACCAATACACCGTTTAACTTAGCACGCGAATGTGCAAAGTGAGCAACTTTGGGTGTGATGAAGCCGAGACCCAAGGTCGGCAGAGCATCTCAGACCACGCCACCACTCCCCTTATTCATGTAAAACACACATGACGGGTTTACGTGGCTCTAGTAAAAAAAAAAAAAACTGGTACGTGCACGTGGTAGGAGCTTCTGTGCGTGTGCAGCTAGATGTAGATTGCACAACAAAAACTGCATGCAGTGTACCGTACCGTGTAGCATACACGGCATGCGTGGGCCGAAACTTGAAAATGATCCGCGCACTTGTACAGTAGAGTCGCGCGTCCAAGAACGTTGTTTCCAAGGGGTTAGCCTGGGACGTTCTTATTTTTTTCAGCAATCTGGCTGCGTTCTTTTAACACGTTCTTAGAAACAAACCATACTGAATCATAATGTATCCCACAAGCTCTCAGAAAACTAACACCGCCGTTCTTAGCTTTAGGCTGTGGTGTTCTTAGTATTTCAGGCTGGGCGTTCTTGGGCTCCACGTTCTTCAGCGCGCGACTCTACTGTAGTCAGTAGACGGTAAAGGCCGATTCACAATGGAACTTATTGCGACGCGACATGCGACTTGCGACACCTGCGGCGAGCTGCGACATCGACACACGGTTCACAATCTTTTTCATGTTTGCGACATCCTTATGCACAAGTAGTACCATGCACGTGCTCTGCACATGCACCACGGGTAGGAGCTGTACTCCATTTGTGTATGTCGCGCGTCGCATGTCGCAACAGTTGAACTTTCTTCAACTTCTGCGACAGGTGCCTTGCGACTGCACGCGATAGCTCGCGACAGGCAGTTTCGTGTCGCGTCACAGAAAGTTGTATTGTGAACCGGCCTTAAGTCATCTCGCGTACAATGCTAGCGCCCTCGCATCATGCATGTATCGCGCAGGCCAGGCCAGGGTGTACATGTGCATGTGCTGGTCCCCACAGTGCAGCACAGTTTCTTTCTTTCTTCCAGACTCCTGAATTGTATGCACGCAGGTGACGAGAAACATAGAAATAAAAACGTGTGGCCTTACATTGTGAATATACTTCAAATAAAATTTAATGTGCTTGTTAGCGGTTTCTATGCAAAGCCAGATAAATCCACACCTGGTATATCCCCCCCCCCCCCCCCCCCCCCCGGGTGACAGCATCAGGAAACGTAGTGTCTTTGTCAGGAACTTATTGAGCTGGTTCCAGCCAAAGTTTCCACCAACACGAGTAGCATCCTCGGGCGTGCATCCTCCATGTACGCATTGTTGTTGGAAGCCATTCTATGGCAAAGTGCTTGCTTGGTCCAGCGAAGCAAGCTTCACAGGCTCGGCCAAGACCAAGACCAAGCGAAACAGCAACCAACATCGGTCGATGCAACGAAAAGGGTTCAGGGCGGTACCAAGAGTTCACACAACCTGCTGGGGGTTTATGAACTGTTGGTACTACTTTTGGCTGACGGTGCCGTCAGCCGTATGCATATGTATAATTATGTCGGAGTCATGCTTAGTTATCGTGTATGGTGCCATCGCCGCAAATGTTTAATTTTGTCGTCGTCCCTGAAACGAACAGTGCTCATTTCGGCCATGTACTCTGACCCCCCCCCCCCCCCCCAGTGAATGCAGTTTACTATGGTGGATGCAGTACATCGCAGCACATCGCAGACATGCACATTACATGTGTGTGCATGTGTATACACTTTAAAATGATTTACACGTCTACACGTACTTGTTTGCTCCTGTCACAGTCCAGCGATGGTGAGAATGAGGTGTCCGGGATAGCATCGCTGGAGCTAAGCAAACTCTTTGACAGCAAGGAGCTGAGAGAGCTACTGGCTGGTCTCAAGTAAGCCACAGTGTGTAGCCTATGTGCTTTGTCCTTTGAATTTATTTGCTAGTGCAGTGGTTCCTCTATGATCCGGCACCATTTGTGCTACGGAAGTTCTGCTGGATTAGGGAGGGTGCTGGATTACAAGATCTGATTTTCTGCTGGAATGTGCATGAAAAGGACATTTTGGTTGCTGAAAATTATGCTGGTTTATAAAGTGCTGGATTAAAGAGGGCCGACGGTATTGAATATGTTGAACGGTCTCTGCTGGGATGACAGCTACACCATAGCTCAGTGGCTAGACTAAGAGCAGCGCTGGCTTCAAGCGAAGGTCCCTGGTTCGAGTCCTGGTGGAGGCAGTCAATTTCTTCTTCAGACTTTTCCCGTTTGCATCTTCACCTCAAACCAATGAATCTTTTGAATTAAGTAAATAGCTTTATCCTAGTTTTGAGTGGTACGTTGAAAGTCACAGTAGTGGTATTTTCGCCGGAGGTGACTTTAGTTTGATCTTTAGTTTGATCTCCGTTGAATTTTGTAGTGTTACGATCGAGTGGGTCTTTGCAATGCGAGCAACCGAGCTGGGGTCGGATTTCACTTGCCAGCACTTTTCTCTTGATGAAGCTGATCAACACCATCTCAATGCTTTAGTTATTGGCCTTCATCTCAATGCCAATTTTTGCTATTCTTCAGCATATTTGTGTGTGTGTGTGTGTGTGTGTGTGTGTGTGTGTGTGTGTGTGTGTGTGTGTGTGTGTGTGTGTGTGTGTGTGTGTGTGTGTGTGTGTGTGTGTGTGTGTGTGTGTGTGTGTGTGTGTGTGTGTGTGTGTGTGTGTGTGTGTGTGTGTGTGTGTGTGTGTGTGTGTGTGTGTGTGTGTGTGTGTGTGTGTGTGTGTGTGTGTGTGTGTGTGTGTGTGTGTGTGTGTGTGTGTGTGTGTGTGTGTGTGTGTGTGTGTGTGTGTGTGTGTGTGTGTGTGTGTGTGTGTGTGTGTGTGTGTGTGTGTGTGTGTGTGTGTGTGTGTGTGTGTGTGTGTGTGTGTGTGTGTGTGTGTGTGTGTGTGTGTGTGTGTGTGTGTGTGTGTGTGTGTGTGTGTGTGTGTGTGTGTGTGTGTGTGTGTGTGTGTGTGTGTGTGTGTGTGTGTGTGTGTGTGTGTGTGTGTGTGTGTGTGTGTGTGTGTGTGTGTGTGTGTGTGTGTGTGTGTGTGTGTGTGTGTGTGTGTGTGTGTGTGTGTGTGTGTGTGTGTGTGTGTGTGTGTGTGTGTGTGTGTGTGTGTGTGTGTGTGTGTGTGTGTGTGTGTGTGTGTGTGTGTGTGTGTGTGTGTGTGTGTGTGTGTGTGTGTGTGTGTGTGTGTGTGTGTGTGTGTGTGTGTGTGTGTGTGTGTGTGTGTGTGTGTGTGTGTGTGTGTGTGTGTGTGTGTGTGTGTGTGTGTGTGTGTGTGTGTGTGTGTGTGTGTGTGTGTGTGTGTGTGTGTGTGTGTGTGTGTGTGTGTGTGTGTGTGTGTGTGTGTGTGTGTGTGTGTGTGTGTGTGTGTGTGTGTGTGTGTGTGTGTGTGTGTGTGTGTGTGTGTGTGTGTGTGTGTGTGTGTGTGTGTGTGTGTGTGTGTGTGTGTGTGTGTGTGTGTGTGTGTGTGTGTGTGTGTGTGTGTGTGTGTGTGTGTGTGTGTGTGTGTGTGTGTGTGTGTGTGTGTGTGTGTGTGTGTGTGTGTGTGTGTGTGTGTGTGTGTGTGTGTATGCAACTGTTATCATTCATGATGCTCTCTTCTCCTCAGGGATCCATCATCGAATACAGCGTTCAACAAACTTGGTGCGCTTCGCAAGTGTGTGCATGCTTGGCTGGCGGATCGCAGTAAACGGAACGAGGTGGGCCCCGTGCAGTGTCAGCGTTATAGCGCTGGTGTTTGTATGTGTGTCTGCTCTGCGCGTGTGTGTGTGCGTGTGTACATGGTGTGTGTGTGTGTGTGTGTGTGTGTGTGTGTGCATTTGCATGCTTCGATGTGTATGTGTGTGCACACGTGGGTGCATTTGTGTCCACGTACGCGCATGTGTTCAAAATGTGTTGCGTGTATGTCTATGCGTGCACATGTGTTGTGTGTCCATGTGCGTCTGGGCATTGCATTTTTGTACATACATGTATCTAATGCTTAACCCTTTGTGGACGGACTGTACGAATTTCGATCTAATAAGATCGAAACTTGAAACGCGAATTTTTCTGGGCGCACCGCACGTTTTCGGCGATATTTTTACTTCCTCCGTTAACAAAAACTTCGTGATGGATTTTTGAGGGGCTGATTTGGGCACAAACTGCCGTGCAATGAGTCGCAATCACTTTCTTGGCCTTCCCTGGCATGCCATGAAAGAAGTACAATGCAAGGAAATCGACCTTTCACAACAAGTCGAGCGGAATCGATGGTTGCGCTGTGGAAACGTAGGTGATGACAGTCATGGCGAGCGAAACTGAAATACCACTTCTCCGAGGGGATATTGCGCTGCTTGGCCTCTCTACCACTTTGGCACTAAGTGAGTTGGAGAGCGATAGAGAGCGATAAAACGGAGCAGCGAGCCCACATAATGAGCGAGTGAACAAGGGCTGCTCCGATCGCACGGCTCAATGAAAACTAATTCTGAACTCAAGTTCTTGTTCAAACTGCGCAAAGCCCAGATTCGAATGATGATCACCATGCATTCTTTCAGAAGTCTGCAGTCCGATGCGAGTCTCATGGCTAAAGAAAGTCGACTGGACTTGCTAGCCGCTGCCGTTCAGTGCTTGCAGGGGTATCCATTAGAGAAAATGGAACCAGTTTGGCTGTGCCTTTACTCCTCGTTTCCCGGAGTTCTGGAGAGCGAAGATGAAACCAGGGAGTCGTAAAATATTTTTCACGACTCCCTTGTGGAAACGAGTAATCGCCATCGCGGCGGATCACGCAGCTTGAAAGCCAACTTACTTGAACGACGGCGACATCAAGGTCAGCAGAGTGTGATCAAAGAAGCCGAGGCAAGGCTGAAACGAGCTGAACAACGACTCAAGAAACGAGCTGAACAACGACTCAAGAGAGATGACGACTCGCGTGCAGCAGATGACGACTCGGGGGCAGCAGATGACGACAGCGACGCAGGTCAAAAATGAGTCGTGCGAAAGCGACGCAAACTGAACTCTCTGCTCTTTCCTCCAACAGTTTCTCTTGAAAAGACGCTGTACATAGGCCGATTCACCTTCGTCTAGTGATTTGCAGTCGATACAAACTGTTCTTGACCTGTTCTAAGCGTTTTCATATCCATCAAAATCCATCAAAATCCATCACGAAGTTTTTGTTAACGGAGGAAGTACACAAATCGAAAGACGAAATCCATGTCTTTCCAATGGTGCTAAATTCGCCGGGGGTCCCTAGTCAAAATGTTGACCAAACCGGCCGCGCAAGAAAAAAATTGAGAGCTTGCGCAAGCATGCAGAACTAAAATTGCAGTGCGAGTACTGTCATGGCACGACGATGCGGACGATGGCATCGGCAAGATTCTGAACTTGAACTGACGAGGACAGTTCTGGTAACCCAATTGTTGAATTGACGAGTCTGATGACGACGAGTTCGAAGTGGACAGTGATAGTGATGTTGATATCCCAGAAATTCAAGAAAACAATTTATCTGATGGATTTGCTGCTACTGCTAGTAGCGAGAGCGGCGGCGAGGATGATGGTGGACAGCTTATCCTATCTACTTTCCGAAAATGTATGGTGTTGTATTGCCTAATGTACACCGATTTCGAGTTATTACTGATTTTCGCATGTCGCTTCTTTCCTGTACAAATTTGGCAGTCCATAAAGGGTTAACATGCCAATGCTGTGTGTGTCCATGCGTGTGTGTGGTGTGTGTGTGTGTGTGTGTGTGTGTGTGTTTGTGTGTCCGTGTGTGTGTGTGCAAATGTGCGTTTGTGTGCCTATGTGTTGCGGGTATGCGTGTGTTTCCGTGTATGTTTAATTGCCACCAGTCGACGGTGTCGTTATGGCAGTTCTGCCAGCACGTTCTGAAGCAGGAGAACCTCTTGTCGCGGGAAGAGTGTGTTGAGGTGAGTACAGCAGTTGAACTATGGCAAGACCTGCCCCATTGGCAGCTGCTGGAAAGTGGACTTATAGTACTGTCGAGCGCCGAAGAACTATCAGGCTAGAATTTCACCAAGCACCGCGTGCCAATGTATACACGGTGACTCAACTGTGCATAGACTGTAAAGTCTGTATTAAATACATGAATATAAGAGCGGTCTAGGCTACGAGGCTGACCCCACAGTTCTTCGGCGACGGCTGACAGTACTGTAGTATCCGAAGTATGTCTTATCCCTTACAACTTTGGTATGGATGAATACACCCGTGCTCAGGACAATGTCCAGTGTGACTTGTATGCAAGAGTTTGCAAGAGTTTTGTCTTACGGAAGCCATCATCAGACAGCATGTATGTGTGTGTGTGTGTTTGTGTGTGTTGTGCTGTATGGACATGTGCTACACGTATGTCGCTTTGGTTACAACCCTGATGTGTATCTCTGTGTGTGTGTGTGTATGTGTGTGTGTGTGTATGTGTGTGTATGTGTGTGTGTGTGTGTGTGCGCTTGCATTCACGTGTGTGTGTGTGTGTGTGTGTGTGTGTGTGTGTTGTTGCATTCCTTGTGCAGTTCTTTGCACGCTTTGACACAGACAGCGATGGAGTCGTGCCTCTATCCGTGTTCAAAACGGTAAGTTAGTTGTGTTGTCATCATGCCCAGCTGCTAGCGGAGTGGAGGAGCCTTGGCAAACTCAAGTCGCAGTTTTTTCCCAGTCTCTGGGAAGCACTCATGATCACTAGACATGTCAAGGGTGTCACACACGGACGACCATGGCCATACCACTTTTCCTCCAGGAATGATGATGGTCCGCCGAGAGCACATGTGGAGCGCTAAAACGTGCCCTGTTGGCCGAAAAATCTGATTTTTTCCCCCGGGGACCCCCTCGTACCACTCCACACTGGACGATGACACCCGTGTATGCACTGTGACAGCTGATCTGATAGGACATGCTACGTTGTCAATAGTTACGAGTTCGCAAAATTCAAAATTTAAATGCAGGTGCTCTACAGTCGCACAGTGTGAGAGAAAACAAACATGTGCTGGATGAAAGCAGGGGTACGGTATTATCTCTTTTTTCTTCTTCTTGTAGTGATTGGTGTAGCCCAGAGACCGTTTGGAGAGTGTAGTCAAGATGCATGGGTGTGTCATTTTCTTTCAATACATGTACTATTATACTCACTTCAGTAGTACATTGTATGTCATGCTCGATTGTAAGTTGCACCCCCCTTTGATGGCCCTGAAGTTAGGTGCGGCTTATATACTAGTATTAAGTTATGAAATAGAGGTTGCGACTTCGGCGATGATTTTGTTTAGGAATGGGTTTGCTCCCACACTGGAGCTCGCGCTATTCCGCCGCCGACTTGACACTTGACTGACTCACGACTGCCATCCAGAGCACACGAGAAGTCCATCGAACCTTTGACTCAGCAAACCTGCAAGAAAGCAGCACTCCCTGCTCCATACGGTATTAAGTTGTATTTGGGAAAATACTGTGCATGTACATATCCTCATGTAGAGTCTTAACATGGTTGTGTTTCTATTGACTGCTGTGTTCACTGGTTGTGCGTAGCTCTTTGCTGCTTTCTGGGAGGACTTAAACCAGCTGAGCATCTCTGTCAGCATGCTGAAGAAGTCACCACTGATGCCAGGATTCCTGGATGCGTTTGCCGAGAGCAAGGGTATGCCGGGCGAACACGGAAAACACCTGCTGATGGTGAGTAGTTGTGTGTATGTGTGTGTGTGTGTGTGTGTGTGTGTGTGTGCGCGCGCGTGCGCGCACGTGTGTGTGTGTGTGTGTGTTTGCGTGCGTGTGTGTGTGTGTGTGTGTGTGTGTGTGTGTGTGTGTGTGTGTGTGTGTGTGTGTGTGTGTGTGTGTGTGAGGTGTGTGTGTGTGTGAGGTGTGTGTCCCATATGGTGCAGTGGTATGTGCAGCGATTGCCAATCGATAGGTTGCGGGTTCGATTCCCGACGATTATGGTCACACACGTCTTTCTTCTCTTTCTCAGACTCTTCCTGACTTTTCTTTCATTCTCCTGGGTGGCTACCAACAGCCAGTGCGTGCCAGAGTATGTGGTGTGATGTGTGTGCGGGGAAAACAAATGAAAAAGACCAAAAATAGGGATTCACTGGCCAGAAAAAGTCACTTCAAATAGCTGTATGGTGTGGACCAGGCTGAATAGTGACGGTCAATTCTTCAGCCTTGCAAGCTGTTGAATGGTGCAATCCCAGCACAAGTTGCTATGGCTTCTGCCGTAGTATTGCTATCATCGCCTCCGGCGATGGGCGTCAAAAGGTCAAAGGTGTGAGGTGTGCGTGCGCTGCTCATGTACTGCTCATGTGCTGATCATATGGTCACGTGATGGATGTAAAACGGCTCGTTGTGTGCATGTACTGTACAAGCAGAAATTTTCGGTGGTGTAGTATTTTCGGTATTCTCCAAAATTGGCGGTTCGGTGGAGGGAAATTATCGGTAAAACCCGTTTTCCAGGTAAGTGTACTAGTACTAAATGTATACAGTACCGGTAGTACCGACATTTTCGGTGCGTTTTATTTTCGGTAAAAATTGTCGGCACCGAAGTTACCGAAAATAAAACACCACCGAAAATTTTTGCTTTTACAGTATCCTTGGCGGGCCCAAAGACACTTGCGGTATACCCAGTTATGTTGATTTTGACTGTTCAAAGACACTTGCGGTATACTCAGTTATGTTGATTTTGCCTGTTCAAAGACACTTGCGGTATACTCAGTTATGTTGATTTTGACTGTTCAAAGACACTTGCGGTATACTCAGTTATGTTGATTTTGACTGTTCAAAGACACTTGCGGTATACTCAGTTATGTTGATTTTGACTGTTTTCTTTTCTGTCTTTGTCCTGTGTGGCTGTGCAGTTTCTGTTGCGCAATCGTCCCAAGGATGAAATGCTGTGGGCACCATTCACCAGCTCTTTGAAGTACACCAGTAACCTGCGCTGGTCGGCTGTAGAAGCACATCTACGTGCCCTGCAAGGTGAAATGGGCATGACATGCTGTTGCTGATCATGCTGCTACTGGGGGAGGGGGTGTTGGTGGCGTTGGTGGTGATGCTGGTGGTGGTGATGCTGGTGGTGGTGGTGATGCTGGTGGTGATGCTGGTGCTGGTGATGCTGGTGGTGGTGTTGATGCTGGTGGTGGTGATGCTGGAGGTGCTGGTGGTGGTGATGCTGGTGGTGGTGGTGATGCTGGAGGTGCTGGTGGTGGTGATGCTGGTGGTGGTGTTGATGCTGGTGGTGGTGATGCTGGAGGTGCTGGTGGTGGTGATGCTGGAGGTGCTGGTGCTGGTGATGCTGGTGGTGGTGTTGATGCTGGTGGTGGTGATGCTGGAGGTGCTGGTGCTGGTGATGCTGGTGGTGGTGTTGATGCTGGTGGTGGTGATGCTGGAGGTGCTGGTGGTGGTGATGCTGGTGGTGGTGGTGATGCTGGTGGTGGTGCTGGTGCTGATGATGCTGGTGGTGGTGATGGTGATGGTGCTGGTGGTGGTGGCGGTGCTGGTGGTTATGCTGGTGGTTATGCTGGTGGTGGTGATGCTGGTGGTGGTGATGCTGGTGGTGGTGATGCTGGTGCTTGTGGTGGTGGTGCTGGTGGTGGTGGTGATGGTGGTGGTGGTGGTGGTGGTGGTGATGGTGATGCTGGTGGTGGTGATGCTGGTGGTGGTGATGCTGGTGATGCTGGTGGTTGTGATGCTGGTGGTGGTGGTGGTGGTACTGGTGATGCTGGTGGTGGTGCTAGAGGTGCTAGTGGTGTGTTGGTGCTGATGCTGCTGCTACTGCTGTTTCTGCTGTTTCTGCTGGTTCTGCTGGTTCTGGTGCTGCTGGTGCTACTCCTCCTATTGTTGTTGGTGTTTCTGCCATTGTGTGTACTCTGAAAAATATTAAGCGTGAATGCTGGATTGTGTGTAACGTATTGTTGTACGTGTGTGTGCCTGTTGCTGTTGTTGCTGCTGCTGTTGCTGTGCCTGTTGCTGTTGCTGTTGTTTGACATGCGTAGAAGTCGGTGAGGATACGCAAGAAAATGAGTTGCAGGCCGGCATGTCATCGGAAGTGCTCAAGCAGGGAAAGTGCTTTGCATCCATCGACGTGTCGAGTAATACGTCTGACATGCAGAAGTGAGTGATATTGTGTTTTTTCTACTCGGTCAGCCTACCCTTCATTCAGAAAGTAAAGAGAATGGAGTATTGTCGTAGTCGTACAACTTTCTGCAATTGGTCTCTACAAGCCTTTGCAAGATGGCTTCGCAATTTCTCCTACCAATACATGAGGTCCAAAGTCAACACCACTGTAAGAGAGGTTTCATGTTGGCCAATGCTGAAAGTCGCAGATCCCAGGTCCAGTTTTGGCCGATTTTGGATTTACTTTAGCATTGTGAGTTGTGTTGTGTGTGTGCGTGTGTGTGCGTGTGTGTGTGTGTGTGTGTGTGTGTGTGCGTGTGTGAGAGTGTGTGTACGTGCGTGTGTGAGTGTGTGCGCGTGCGTGTGTGTGTGTGTGTGTGTGTGTGTGCGTGTATGCGTGTATGCACGTGTTTGTATATGCGTCCGTGTGTCCAGCTTAATCAATCCTGGCACCTCCTATTGGCAGTCACAGGGTCCCGTGCACACCCATTGGATCAAGTAAGTGACATTGGCGAGAGGTTGACTTTCTCTTGCCGCCACAGCAGCTGTCCTGGTCACCATTATCACGGTTGTGGATGTGATGTGCATCGGTACAGATACATAGTGCAACTTACACCCCATTTTTCTAGTGTTTCGGTACATGTACAGTGAAACTTGTCTAGAACGACCGCTCAAGGGACCTTCGAAATGTGGTCTCTGTTACCAGGTGGTCTCCGTATCCACAAAAGTCATTTGACTGGAAATCGCATCTCTTGGTCCTGGTTGCAGTGGTCTTCTGGGACAGGTGGTTGCCTTGTCCGAGTGGTGGCCTTGACAGATTTTACTGTACTCGCATGCCAATGACAGCATGGTGCAATAGTGACAAATACGGAGAACACACTGAATGGAAAACAGTGTCCCAGACCGCAGCCGGAAACCGATTGGCGCAGGCCCGGTCTTGCTACATGTGCATGTGTATTTTCTTCATGCACTGCATTGTTGGCCCCTTGGTCACAGCGGCGCCAAGCTTTAGGGCTGGGTAGCTTAGGCTAGTTCTTCGATTAGCAGTTCATTGCACTACAATTCGTGCAAGCCAGCAACAATTCTATTTTGGTACGAGTGGCCTATTTTGTTTGCTCCGCTGGGTTTTATTGCGGCTGATAGCCAGATGGTGCTGGCGGTGAAGGCGGTGCTGGTGCTACGGGTCGTACCAAGAGTACATAACCCCCAAGGGCGTGCAACTCCAGCTATGGGGTCTGCGACGGCAGAACTTCACATCACCTGACAAACCCATATACATTATTCGCACCCTGCGCATGATAGATGAAGGGTGCACACGCAACCCTGCTTTGGGTTCAACTCTCTTGGGGTCACTCTGCACTATTTGCCAGCGTAACCTTTTGAAGCATGTCACGTGATGTGAAGTCCTGCCGTCGCAGCACTGTATGGAGACCGTGCAGGCAGTTGCACACTCTTGGGGGTTATGTACTCTTTGTCGTACTGATCCTTCTGGGTCCATTGATGCTAATGACAATGCTACTGGTGCTGCTGCTGCTTCCCCTTGTTCTTTGATGTATTATTTTTGTTGCTGATGGGTTTCTTATGCTCTATGTTACGCGCCACATACACTCACACATGCACGCGTGCATCCACGCACACACGCATGCACACACGCACGCACACACGCACACACATACACACACACGCACACACCGTCTGTGTGTACTCAGGGTGCGCTTGCGTCCCGACGTATGCGTGAAGCGTCTCGCCCTCGGCGTGATGGAGAGGGACGCCAGCTACATGCCACAGAACATCTCTGTCTTCGGTGGTTCTTCCAAAATGTCTCAAGGAATTCAGCTGGCACAGCATGTCATACCCAAGTAAGACTAAGTTCGGAGCTGTGCAGCGCCACATCAATACCAGTTACCTTGGCAGGGTGCTAGCCACAGGGGTGGGGGTGCAGTGGCCTCCTACTCTGATTTAGCCCCTCCCCCTACTTATTAATGTTATCGATTTTTGTGTTTTTCATTCCATTCAACGGAAATGCAGTCGATAGTCACCACTAGAGGGTTCATAGAGGCATATTTGTGTGAAGTCG